AAGGGCGGTGGGGGCCTGGGGTGAACCCGCCTCCGCCCCGGGTCCCGCGCCCCCGGGCCGCCCCAGCGGCGGGGAAAGCCCTGGCTCCCCGGGGAGACGCCCGGGCCTCCCACCCCTCCTCCGGCCCTGGGGCGACGCTGGGCTCACACCCTGCGCATCCCAGGAGCCCGGCTCCAAACGCACCCCGATACCTGCGGGAAACTGCCGGCAGGGGTTCGCGTCACCCACCGCGACCACGGCCCCGGCGCTGCTCCGCCTCCCCGCCTCTGTGCGCACGCGCATCCCCGTCCGGGACTCTTCCATCGCGGAAGGTGGGGGCGCCCGGCGCGGGGGGATGCACAACGGGAGCCTACGCGAGGCACCAGAAACGCTTCAGGACCGCCTCTGTGTATTAGAGCGACTTCGGAGGCGATCTCCTGGAGTCACTTACATTCCTCATGCTATAGACTGGGGAGAAGAACTACACTCGCCCTCCCCACAAACCCATTGGTCTGGTCCCAGCCCCCGGGCCGTCACCGTGGTAACGGCGTCTAGCGGACGCGGAGGTGGCTCGCCGCTGTTCATTGTTGTGGGACAGGTGGAAGCGGTGACTGCGCCTGGCGTTGCCTTGAGAACGCCAGGACTCACCGTAGCAAAATGGGCCTCTCCCCGAAGTCCCTCCTCTTCCTCTTCCTCCTCCCCGACCACAAAGCAAAGGGCACCCCTTCCTAGTGGATGTGGGGGCAACAGGTGTCGAGTGTCCCATCCAGAACTTTTCGGGGGAACCGGTCCCAAGTTCGTCGGATTCCGCGGATGTTTCCAGGTAAGACGTACAGACGGACGATGACCTGCCCTGCCCTCTGCGCAGACTGCCACCTCCCCACATCCCGACTCTTCAGCTTTTACAAGCAGGGGGAACTGAGTCCCAGGGACCACTTCAAGGTGACACAGCGAGCAAGGGCAGAGAACTACTCGAGAATCAACGCCAGATCTTCCGAAGTCCTAACAGTGTATATTATTGGTTCCATTTGAAAAATAAACCCAGAGCCATTCAAGGGATATTTATTGGGTGTCCGGTGAGTGCACCAGGTCATCCATCCAGTGAAAGCCAGATCCCGTGGGCCTCTGGCTCCAAGTGCAGTTATCTTCCAACTACACCCCAGTGAATTGAAAATGGAGAGTTCTATGCCCTAGAACCAAACTCTGCGATTTAATCCAGCACTATCCAATGGAAACATAATGTGAGCCATACGTGTCATTTAGAATTTTCTAGTAGCCATATTTTAAATATTTTTAAAAATCAGATTATATTGAGTATTTTATTTAATTCGTGTGTCTCAAATATTATCATTTCATCTTATCAACATTGTTTTTAATTTATTTTTTGTTTATTTGAGAGAGGACAAGCAGGAGTTAGGGGGAGAGCAGAAGGAGAGGTAGAGAGAGAATTCCAAGCACACTCACTGCTGAGCACAGAGCCTAACAGGGGCTGGGGCTGGATCTCAGAATCCTGAAATCATGACCTGATCAGAAATTAAGAGTCCCCAACTGGCTGAGCCACCCAGGTGCCCCCATATAATCAATGTTTTTAAATTTATACTGCTTCAGTTTTTAAGTTTCAATTAATTAAAATTTCAGTTCTGGGAATTCCTGGGTGGCTCAGTGGTTTAGAGCCTGCCTTCAGCTCAGGACGTGATCCTGAAGTTCCAGGATCAACTCCCACATCTGGCTCCCTGCATGGAGCCTGCTTCTCCTTCTGCCTGTGTCTCTGTCTCTGTCTGTGTGTGTGTGTGTGTGTGTGTGTGTCTGTCTCACGAATAAAGAAATAAAAATATTTTTAAAATAATAAATAAATAAATAAATAAATAAATAAATAAATAAATAAATAAATAAAATTTCAGTTCTTCAGTGACACTAACCAGATTCCAAGGGCTCAATTGTCACATATGTTTCGTGGCTACTGTAACACATAGATCTAGCCTTTTCCTACCTTTCTACACTTGCTCTTGTCTGCTTGAATGGTATCCTTCCCCTTTATCTAATTAACTCCTATTCTTCCTTCAAGCCTTGACTACATCCATACCTAATATCAGCTCATCTCATAGCACTACATTCTCCCTTCAAAGCAATGGTCACAGGATAATAATAATAATTCACAATTATTTATATAATCATTTGATTATTGCATGTCTCCCTTAGTAGGCATAAGCTCCACTAGGGCAGGGATCAAGTCTGGCTTAGCTCACTACCAGGTCCCTAGTAAAAGCACACTGCTGGTTTCTGACGGGTACTCAGTAAATTGTCATTGAGTGGCTGAAGTGTTTTTTTTTTTTTTTTTTTTTTAAGATTATTTATGGGCAGCCCCAGTGGCTCAGCAGTTTAGCGCCACCTTCAGCCCAGGGTGTGATCCTGGAGACTCAGGATCGAGTCCCACGTGGGGCTCCCTACATGGAGCCTGCTTCTCCGTCTGCCTGTGTCTCTGCCTCTCTCTCTCTGTGTTTCTCATGAATAAATAAATAAAATATTAAAAAAAAAAAACAGAACAAAAGTCTGATTCCAAAGTCAGCAGTGTTTTAACTTGTTTAATATGCTTAAATCTCAGCTGCCAGAATCTGTGCCACACGAGGGCAGAGTGTTACTCTTCCACTCATCTGCCCCCAGAACTACACAGTGAGAAACATGGGCTAGATATTCAGCAAATTGTACATGAGCTAGATATTCAGCAAATTGTTTTCTCCCCCAACCTTTTTTTCTTCCCCAAGGAGAGACAGTAAAAACTTATCATGTTTCAGAGAATACCTAAAAAGGTATGATGAAAAATTCAGAAGAGAACAGAGTATGTATTTTAAGCATTTCTTTTAAGAACCATAATAATAGCCAATTCTTCCATTAAGGCATGAGTAAGAATGTCAAGCTAAAGCAAGAGGCTTCTTGATAGAGTCACCCTAAGGCTGCTTCTCAGAGAACACACTATAGTTTTGCAATCATGCTGTGGAGTAGGTAGGAGGAAAGTGAGAAGCCCTGCGATGCACCTGCTGCCTCCTTACCCTCTCCCCTTCGCCTATAGAGCAAAAGGAGGAAATAATAGTGACCTGGGCCTGGGACAGCCTTTCCTGCAATCTAACTGACTTGGGACAGTGCCAAGCTTCTTTGGACTAGAAAGAAGTATGGTGAGTGAGTCTAAAATGGAATCAAATATTGAGAGTACCTAATCTATGGGGATTAATAATTTGCCTAATGGAGAAAGTTATGGAAGCAAATAATTCCGGTTCAGAAGTGCTTAAGTGCTGTAATGGAGAGATGGAAGCAGGATTCTGAACTTCCCAGAGGAGGGGTGGTAACTAATGGCCTGGAGTATTTCAAGGTTTTCCAAAAGAGGGGCACCTGGATGGCTCAGTCAGTTAAGTATCAGACACTTGATCTCAGCTATGGTCTTTTTTTTTTTTTTTTTAAGATTTTATTTATTTATGAGAGACACAGAGAGGCAGAGACATAGGCAGAGGGAGAAGCAGGCTCCATGCAGGGAGCCCAACGTGGAATTCGATCCCAGGTCTCCAGGATTAGGCCCTGGGCTGAAGGCTGCGCTAAACTGCTAAGCCACTGGGCTGCCCATCAGCTCAGGTCTTGATCTCAGCTCAGGTCTTGATCTCAGGGTCATGAGGCATGGAGCCTACTTAAAAAGAAACAAACACATTGTTTAGAAGAGAAGGTTTTCCAAAAGATATATCTCGGGATGAGCGTGGAATAGAGGGAACAGCATGTGAAAAGGCTTAGAGGTGCTAGGAGCATAGCTTAGCAGGGACCAGGAGGAGGGACAGAGGGGTAGGCATACAGGGTGCATGGCTGGGGAAGAGGCCGAGCAGAAGGCGAGAAAAAGAGAATGTGGTGAAAGAGCCCCTGAGGTGATTTTCCCACTAAACTACATTTTCTCTGTCCTTCCATTACATATGAGCTTCCTGAGGGCCCATCTGAGTCTTTTACTTCATTAGAACCAGGCCTGTGCCACCAGCTCTGGCCATGGAAGAGCCAGGAATGGTAGTCTGAACTCCTGGCCAATAGACCCAGGAAAGCAGTCCGGCTGGAGTGTTCTGAAGCCAGGAGGAAAAGTAGTGATGGGGTTGGTTTCCTGGGAGGGAGCAGGAAGCCTCAGGTAGGTCGGGAGCCTCAGGCCGAGGAGATGGACTGACCCAGTGTCATAGCATCTGAGAGCTGAAAAGGGTCTTAGGGAATCTAAGCCAAATCTCTGACTTAGCAGAAGAGTCTCAGAGAGATGGGACTTTGGTGTCTTTTCTAGTTTGGGTATTGGTTTGCTAGGCGGCCCGGAGCTCTGGCCTTTTCAGCACTCTAGTCTCCTGATTTTATTTTATTTTTTTTTAATTTATTTATTTATGATAGTCACAGAGAGAAAGAGAGAGAGAGAGAGAGAGAGGCAGAGAGAGAAGCAGGCTCCATGCACTGGGAGCCCGATGTGGGATTCGATCCCAGGTCTCCAGGATCACGCCCTGGGCCAAAGGCAGGCACCAAACCGCTGCGCCACCCAGGGATCCTAGTCTCCTGATTTTAAATGCTAGAACAGTTTTCATGGGAACGGGGTGGGTGGAGGGTATCAACAGGAAAAGAAGAGTGTATGTCTGAAATCCTTAGAAGGGCTTGGCAAAAGGATTGCCTCCATTCTCCACGTTGCCTGCAGCATGTGCCTCGCCATCAGCCCAGCTTGCCAGATTGTGTTTTCTTTTTTTTTTTTTTAAGATTTTATTTATTTATTCATGAGAGACACACACAGAAAGAGAGAGAGAGAAAAGCAGGCTCCATGCAGGGAGACTGATGTGGGGCTCGATCACAGGACTCCAGGATCATGCCCCGGGCTGAAGGCAGGCGCTAAACCACTGAACCACCCAGGGATCCCTGTGGTTGTGTTTTCTAAGATGGTTCTATGCTGTTTGTGATTTCCAGGAGGCTGGTTGAACATAAAACAAGATTGGTGTAGGAAATGAGAGGCTCTTAAGTTTACAAGAAACTGGATGGTGGCTTATTTCAGTAACATGGATGTCATCAATGTCACTGCCTTGCCAATGGTACCAGTGGATGAGTACCTGACTGTATCTCTCAATGCACAGAACAAGGTGAAGAATGCTGTGAGGAAGACCCTGGAGGACAATCCACCCTGTATCCTTCTATGGTGCTGTCTACAACTCAGACCAAATACACCTGCCACAGATGTGTAACTAGTGTCTACATCTGTGACCCAAGTTATCGGCCCTCTCCTTATTTGCTTGTTAATTTGTTTTCAATTAGTTAAGCCCTACCAATCCTCCAAAAGAATCTGAGACAGATGGTTTGAGTTTATTTTACTATCATCAGGAAGGGCCCCAAAGAAGAAGTGTGGAAATATTTGTTGAAAGAACAGGGAAGAAGAAGGAGGGAAAGCTCATTTTCTTCATTGTCTCATTCTTTCTCTTCTGTTTTCCTAAGAATTATACGTAGCAACCAAGAAGTCCTGGTGCAGCGCTCTACCCCTCAGACAAATGAGCTTAAGACCCAACTTTGTTGTTCTCACTCAGCTTGACCTTGCCTCTTCTCACCTGCCAGCCCTTCTACCTGGGCTCCGAGTTTGCCCTTTCTGGCATCCTCCCTCCCCCATACCACCCCCACCCCGGCCTCTTCCAGCATCTGACTTCTCTAGCCCTGCCTTTGTTGATCTCCTCTCCCTTCTGACTCTGAGCTCTATGCCAGGGACCCTCAGAAGCCCATCTCTGGAAGACCTTAGAGCTCATCTGGCAAATCACACTCTCAGGCTATAAATAACCCCAGGTCTTCTGGTCTCATCAAGAGCTCATTGACCTTCAAGTCCTGCTGCTGCCAGCCAAGCTGCAGGTGTCCCCTCTGCATCCCCTCATCTTCTGCACCTCTCAGAAACCCTTCTGGAGATGAGCACAAGTGATCCGATCAGGGTCTGCTTCTCAGACTCACTTTCCTGGGTCTTTTTCTAATGTCCCCTCTTTCTTCTTAATCCCTCACTCATCTCAACCTAACTAACCCATTTCACTTCCTATGCTTTATCATGTCCTTTCTTGGCATCTTCATCTGTCAAGTATCCTCCGATCTGTAAGAACCCTTGAGGGTAATGGAAAAAGGAGTGAACTCTGCTTTATATGAAGGCAGTGAGGAGTGATAGGATTATGGGGCTTCTATGAGGATATTTCCTAGACCAATTGAGTCTAAGACAGAAAGAAATGCAAACGTAAAGAGGATAACAAGAGCAGCCCTTGAGCTGAGCAGAGATTTCAATAGTGATAAACAAGGTTGAGATACTTCTGACCCAGTCATCCCTCACCTGAAAGTCTCCCTTAAAGGAACAATCCCAAACATGGAAACAGCTCTCTATGTGCATCACAGCATTATTTATCATAAAAAAATTATGGACAACTTAAATATTCAATAGCCATGGGACAGTTAAATGTATTAAGGCGTATTCTCTAAATGGATTCATATAATGCCATTTAAAATATTACGAGGATTATTTAGCTCTATAGAGAATGATCATAATAATGAGTGGAAGAGAAGTCGAGTCCTGAAATAGACATTCGCTGAGATTGTAATTATGTAAAATGTATGTTATAAAAAATACTGGAAGAAAATTTCCCCAAATCCTAACAGAAGTTGTTAGCATGGTAGCATAATGGATGATTCTTTTTATATTTTCCAAGGTGTTTAGGATATGGTTAATTTTCATTTAGACTTTATAAAGCAACTCATTTAAAACGACAAAAGAAGTGTGAATGTTTGTAAAGAAAATTGTTAAGTGAAGAGACAGCTCAGAGAGTGAGCCAGGCTAGCTAGCCCTATCCTTTTCCTGTGTGATCAGTACCCAGAGAGTTTCCTTAGCAGACTCACCTCTCAGCCTGCCTTATTGGCTCCATACACCAGGTGAATCAAATGATTGGCGAGCTAGATCTGAGTCCCAACAGCCTGGTGAGTTATGGGTCCCAATACAAGGCTTCCTCCACTTATCTGAAAGCACATTTGCACAATGGAGATCTGAAAGATATATTTTATTAGTAAACTTTATTTTTTGGAGCAGTTTTGGGTTCAAAACAAAAATGAGGAGAAAGGGCAGAGTTCCCAAATACCCCTAACTCCACACCTGGACAAGCTCCCCATCACCACAGTGGTACATTTGTTACAGTTGATGAACCTGCATTGACACATCATTATCACCCCAAATTCGTTGTTTACATTAGGGTTCTCTCTTTGTGCTGTGCATTCTGTGAGTTTCGACAAATGTGCAATTACATATATCCACCTTTGTAGCATCATACAGAAGAGTTTCACTGCCCTAAGAATCCTCTGTGCCTCTCCTATTCAGCCCTGCCAACTCCTGGCCACCCCTGAACTTTCTGCTGTCTTCATAGTTTTACCTTTTGCAGAATGACATAGAGTTAGAACCATACAGTATGTGGCCTTTTTCAGACTGGCTTCTTTTACTTAGTAATATGCATTTAAATTTCCTTCATGTCTTTCCATGGCTCAATAGTTTGTTTCTTCTTGGCACTGAAGAAGGTCCCTTTGTCTGAATGCACCACAGTTTATTTACCTGTTCACCTACAGAAAGACCTCTTGGTTGTTTCCAAGTTTTGGCAATTATACATAAGGCTGCTGTGAACATCTTTGTGCAGGGTTTTGTGTGGACATATATTTTCAGTTCATTTGGGTAAATAGTGAGGAGCGCGATTCCTGGACCAGATGGCAAGAGTATGTTTAGTTTTCTAAGAAACCGCCAAACTGTCTCCCAAAGTGGCTGCACCATTTTGCATTCCCACCAGCCATGAATGAGAGCTCCTGTTGCTCCCCATCCTCACCAGCATTTGGTGTTGTCAGCATGCTGGATCTTGGCCATTCTGATCAGTATATAGCAATGTCTCCTTGTCGTTTGAATTTGCAATTCTCTAATGACACGTGGAATTGAACATCTTTTCATGTGCCTGCTTGCCATCTGTTGATCTTCTTAACTGGGGTGTCTATTACAGTCTTTGCCCCATTCTTTGAGTTGTTTTCTTACTGTTGGGTTTTAAGAATTCTTTGTGTATTTTGGGTAACAGTCTTCTACCAGATGTGTTTTTTTACAAATATTTTCTGCTGCTTCACTCTGACTAAATCTCCTGACCCCATCCCCCTTGGCAGCTTACTTTCCAGCAAGTTCCTCCAGCCCCAGGGCCCTGAGCTGGTCATTGCCTCCATAGTTTTCAGTTTTACCCTCTCCCCTCAACTTTTCTAGTGCTAAGTTTTTGGGGCCAGTTCATCTTTTGAGTCTGTCTTTTTGTTTTATTTTTTTTTTTTAATTTTAAATGGCAAGGTAATGCATACTTATTCTAAAATATTCAAATGGAGGCACCTGGTGGCTCTGTTGGTTGAGAATCCGACTCTTGCTTTCCGTTTCACTCATGATCTCAGGCTCATGAAATGGAGCCCCACATTGGGCTCTGCTTGGCGTGGAGTCTACTTGGGATTCTCTCTCTCTCCCTCTCCCTGCACCCCTTCTCCTTGCTTACACAGTCTCTCTCTCTAAAATATAAAGTACTCAAACCATTGACAAGTATATTAAGTAAACTCTGAAAGTCACTTCACTCCCAGCCCAATTTACTCCTTAGAAGTAAACATCAATAATTGGTGTGTATCCTTCTAGAACTTTTTATATGCATTTAGAAATCAGGATGCCTGGGTGGCTCAGTCAGTTAGGCATCTGCCTTTGGCTTAGGTCATGATCCCGGGGTCCTGAATCAGGCTCCCTGCTCCATGGAGAGTCTGCTTCTCCCTCTGCCTGCCACTCCCCCTGCTTGTGCTCTCTCTCTCTCTGTCAAATAAATAAAATCTAAAAAAAAAGAAATAGAGAACACATATATTTAGGGTTATTGTTTTCTTTTCTTTTCTTTTCTTTTTTTTTTAGATTTTATTTATTCATGAGACACAGAGAGAGAGAGAGAGGCAGAGACATAGGCAGAGGGAGAAGCAGGCTCCATGCCGGGAGCCCGACGTGGGACTCAATCCCGGGACTCCAGGATCGCACCCTGGGCCAAAGGCAGGCACTAAACCGCCGAGCCACCCAGGGATCCCCTCAAATTGCTTTTCACAGAGATTAAACTGTTGTTTAGTCATGCAGCAATGAGACCACTAGTTTCAATTGCCCCTACACTACCAGTCGAATTGTGAGTAAAGGCAAAACAGACACACACTATTTGGTGTGATTGCCTGTAAGTTAAGAAACCTTGTATCTGTGTTTGTGCACATATCCATGGGAGAGGTTATAGTACTAGAGGCATATGCTCTGGAGTAAGACTGTCTAAATTCCTGGTCTATTATTTTCTCACATTGTGACATTAGGCAAATAATTTAATCTCTGTGAATCTCCTTTTTTTTTTTAAGATTTTATTTATTTATTCACAAGAGACACAGAGAAAGAGATAGAGGCAGAGACACAGGCAGAGGGAGAAGCAGGCTCCATGCAGGGAGCCTGACGTGGGACTCGATCCCGGGTCTCCAGGATCACACCCTGGGCTGAAGGCGGCCCTAAACCACTGAGCCACCAGGGCTGCCCTCCATCTTCTAGAAAATGATAACAGTAATAAGTATCCTTCATAGGGCTGCTGCAAGAATTAGTTAAAACCGACAAAGAAAAAAAATTATTAAAAACAAACAAAAAACCCCCACAAAGACCCTTAAATCGGGGCAGAGAAGAGTGCCGGCTCATAGGAGAGACATTCCATACATACCAATGTGTAGGAGAAGAGTCTGGAAGGATACACACCAGTCAGTAGGGTCAGTTCTGGAAAGAGGGTAAAGAGGAAGGCAAGTAAAGCATCTTTTACTGTATATATTTCTGTAATGTTTAGGTATTTTACAATAGGAATGTTATTTATGTGTCAGTTCTGTGGCTTTTTTTAAATGATAATTTTAAAACCAGGAAAAAGGATGTTTTCCTCCTAGAAGCAGGATCCGGTGGCTTTTCAAGATTACCTAGCATTGGCGTATCCCCTCAGGTGGTCTTCATCACCAGTCAGTTCCAGGAAGGGGCTGGCAGGAGCAACCCAGGGTCTTCACATGACCTGGAGGAAGGGACCCTTTGCCTGTCCTACCTGTCCTCTGCCCAAGCAGCCGGCCAGATCTGTCAGAGCTGCCTTCTGCCACCAGAGCCCATCCCCAGGCTACCCTGCTGGCCTCTCTTGGCTGCGGGTTGCCCTGTTCTATGTTCACCAGGCCTTGACTGTGTGGCTGCTTCTCCTGAGTCAGCACCTTAGCCAGACTAGTTTCTCCTGTGTCCCTGCTGGCTGGCATCTAGCACAGCGCCTGGTGTGTTCAGAAGTACTTAATAGATGTGTACTAATGAACGAGTGAGCCCCAGGTCCTCCTCCCTCCGTCCCATGTAGCCAAGTCCTATTTCTATTCCCTCTTCCATGCCCTGAGTGTGGGATTCCCTCATCTCTGGCCATGAACCTCACCTAGCTCCCCTTTCCAGTCTCCCTCCCCTCAAGATCTCCCCCACTCCACATCAGAGCTCCACCATCCACACAGCCGCAGCAGGCTCCTCTTCCTGCAGCTCATCACTCTGGAAAGGCCTTCCCTGTGTCCTCCACCCCAGGACTAGTGTAGATGCCCCTTCTGGGCACACTTCTGGCATCCTGTCCCTCCCCATGGCTGCACTGATCACTTCATAATCACTGGCTGCTCCCCACTAACCTGTGAACCTTTGGAGGGCAGGGATGGTGTTCACTGCTCTCTCCTGCATCCTTGATGGGCCTTTAGCAGATGCTCAGGAAATATTTATGGAAGGAATGATAGGGTTGCAAATTCTCGCTTTTCTGCTGTACTTCAGCCTCGTATTCTCAGCTACCTGGAGCAGTGCCACCAAAACCTAAGTGATCATCAGAATCCCTTGCAACATTTTTAAAAACTAAAAGTGTAAAGAGCATCACACAGGACTGCATGTTCTGCATGTTCTTGTTGGTACAGGATTTCTCTGGAAGGCTAGGCAAGAACTAAGGATGTGGGCGGTGGGTAGGAAGACTTGTGACTAGACTATTAGATTTTGTACCTTGTAAAATATTTACTAGTTTTTACAATTTAAAATCTATTCAGGAGCCACAGTAAATAAACAATTCATGACCAAAGGCAGACGTCAGGAATGAGCTTCTCTAATGAATTGGTATATCTGAATAATTCCCCAACAATGCTGGTCACCTGCCAGGTTTAGGAGTTGACTTGCCCCTTGTCCGTACTGCTCTCATCCCAAAGACAAACAGCCCAGCATTGGTGTCACATTTTCCCCTGAAATTTGTTTTTATTCCAATGTTCATTTATCCTTTCTGCTCTCTCTGTATAAAAATTTTGTCCATCCTTCCAAGGCCCAGATAATATTGGCTACAATGGCACCCTGATAAGGCTCAGAGATGCTGCTGTTTTGCAACATTGGCGTATACCTGTTCAATTCATTCATCATGCTACTTTTTCTTGGGCTACTTTTTTGGAGCAACAGTGTCGACAGACTTACCAACGTGACCCCTTTCCCCATCTACATACACCTACATACATGCCAATTTAGGATAAAGTGATGGGAGGCTAGAGGGGCATTTCACAGTTTATGGAGGGCAACAGACAGCTGCCTCATCATGCCTCCCAACACTCATGTCCTACCTCTCTGGGCATTCCTCTGTGACTGCTCCAACTCACGCTGCTCTCATTTGTTTGAATCCCAAACATAGCAGTTTAGGACTTAATTGGCCCATGTGTGCTGATGTGACTATCCAAACAGATTGTAAATTCCTAGGGCAAGAGCACAGAATCATAATTCTTCGTTAACTCTTATTATCCAAGAACAGTGCTGGGTTCATGGTTGACAATCAGTACAACTTGTTGGATCACTGACATTAATTTTTCTTTTCTTTCCTCAACAAAAGATGGGGGAGTCAGATCAAGAGAAATCTCTTGAGCAATCAAGGGTATGGTGATTAATAATAATAATTTCCCTTTATTGAGCAGCTCCTGCCTGATAGTAACCTCTGTGCTAGTGTTTTAAGATGCATTCAATACTTTATATGTGATCCATACAAGGATCCTAGAAGGTAGGTATCACTGCCCCCCTCAGAGAGTTTAACCAATAGCTTTTAACCCATGGAGCTTGATTGGAACCCCATTCCAAATCCTGTACCCCTCAGAGGTGTAGACAAGAGGAGGCATAGCCAGGAGAAGGAGCAGTGTGAGAGAGGGAGGGGTGGGGGAATGTATTGGTGGTGACACTTGAGGTGGGGCAGGGATGAGGTCAGTGACACCAACGGCCACCAAGACCCTAGCACCTAGGGGGAAGACAGTGAGGCACTGCCACCAACTTTGCTCCAGGACTTTTGCACACCAACAGGAGAAGTGGCCTGACCTCTGACCCTACCCCTGTCAGAGATCTGCATGAACTGCCCTAATGCCCCTTTTCTTTTTGATTTTTAAAGGCAATTGAGAGATTTGAGCTGGAAAAGAAGGCTTTGAGAGAGAAAAGTCGCGGCGGCTTGAGAGACAGAGGCAAAAATCCTTTCTCATAGCCTTGCTGGTATTTTTGTGGGGTTCGGCTTTTGTTAATATCTCAAATGCAGTTAAGCGGGAATCCAGCATTTCAGCTGAGGATATTTCTGTCCTCTTCTGAAGGAGCCTCACATCTGAGTTGCTGGCATTGGGCAAATTAGGAGGGGAAGGACTGCACACTTAGAGACGGCCTGCTATGTGGCTCACTGCACCACTGCTTTCAAGCGGATTCCCTTGTTAAATCTTCATAATGTCCCCACCTGTGGGGTAGATGCCAGTGAACATAGTTTATTGATGAGGAAACCAGCTTGGAGCAAGGGAATGGCTTGTCTGCAGCAGGTCCTGAATTCAGGTCCCAGCCTGCCTTCACAGCCCATGCTGTGTGCTCCTGGGGCAAGGAGTCTAACCCATCAGGAAGGGAATCTTAGTGAGTCAGCAGCGCAAGTCCAATGAGACTAAGAGTGTGACTGGCAGCCGGCAGCTCAGGCTGAGTGAAAAATCGCAGCTGTAATTACTGCACAGTGGTGAACAGACCCCATGGTCACTCACATCCTGTTTCTCTTCCATTCTTCTGCAGACAAGACTCAAAGCAAATCACAGTATACGTGCAGAGGCTCAGAATCCAGGAATGTCAAATCTTTCGTTAGTAGAAGGGTAAGGGATCTATTGCTGGGTCTCTTTCTGACTGATTTCTGCTGGGCATGAGTTTAGTCCTGGGGAGGGGACACTTGGCACCTGGCTGGCGATGGTGCAGGAAAACCACAGAGTGCCCTTTTTAGAAGATCTTAGAGCACCTTGATAACACTAGAATTTCTCATGCCACCCTTGAAGGGCTAGAATGAAGAGTGTTCCAGAGGTCATTTGTCTGTTTATTTTTAGAACTTCCAAGGTGTGTCCTCTTAGAAACAGTCAGTTTAGAGTGAGCTCACACAGAGCCGCCTGTTGCCCCGCTCCAAGAGGCCCATTCGCGCAGCAGAGCAAGTTGTGTCCGTCACTTGGACGCCACAGGAAGCTGATAGGAGTAGGTCAGCAACCTGTCCAGCATCATGCATCTGGCTCAGGGCAGAGTGCCTGTCACCCGCCCATGGCCAGGCTGCCCGCTGCCTCCACAGCCACCATCAGGCGCCACTCCAGTGAAGATTCTCCCAACGTGCTCATTTAGCTACCCAGGTCATATGTGTTCAAACTTTCTTTTTGGGGGGGTACAGTATACTTTATTGATGGTACATGACAAGGTAGGGCTCCCCAAGCCCCTGTGTTCAAACTTTTAAAGGTCAGAGTACACGAAACCATCTGTTATTGTTACCCTGTTTCTACCTTTTAGCCCAGGAAATTCCCACACAGCACAAAGCCTGATGGTCGAGAGAGTGGGTCAAAACTGGCATCCTACCTATGATGGTGGCCAAATGGATGTGAATGTCCTGGCCAAAGTGGCACAGCTAGTAAATGGTGGAGCTGACCTCTGGCCCGGGTTGTGTGAGTCGGGGTCAGAGCAGTTCATCAGTTGAGTTTGGCCAATGCCAGAGCCCAGTTAGAAAGCAGCTCAGTCCCTGAGAATGTTTCCAGTAGGTGCCATGGGTGATGGTAATCTGTCTCTTCTTTCCAATTTTCTATATTTTCACACTTTTTGTAGTTATTATATTGTCTCTTTAAGAAATTCTTTCTAGGACGCCTGGGTGGCTCAGCGGTTGAGTGTCTGCCTTCGGTTCAGGGCATGATCCCACAGTCCTGGGATTGAGTCCCCCATCTGGCTCTCTGCATGGAGCCTCCTGCTTCTCCCTCTGCCTGTGTCTCTGCCTCTCTCTGTGTGTCTCTCGTGAATAAATAAATAAAATCTTAAAAAAAAAAAGAAGAAATTCTTTCTAAATGAAGAAACCTAAAAGAGAGGAAACTTATATCCTCCAAATTATCAAAGACTATAATATTAATTGGAGGTAATCAGAGAGTATAGTTAAGTAAATGATGGGATGTCTTCAGTGATAATTTTTTTTAAAGGTTTTATTTATTTATTCATGAGAGACACACAGAGAGAGGCAGAGACACAGGTAGAGGGAGGAGCAGGCTCCCTGCAGGGAGACTGATATGGGATTTGATCCCAGAACCCCAGAAATCATGCCCTGAGCCAAAGGCAAATGCTCAACCACTGAGCCACCCAGGATCCCCAGTGATAAATTTGAAGACAGTGTAACAGTGTGGAAAATCTAAAGTGGACAAACCAGGATATAAAGTGTGTGTGTGTGTGTGTGTGTGTGTGTGTGTGTGTGTTTATGTTTCTGTGTTGTAAAGTGAGTGAAGTTACACATACATATTTGTATATAGGTGCTCAAAGCCTGAAAGGGAAAAATCAGAAATAACATCAATAGGAGTTTGGCTAGAGGTGCTGGGATCATGAATGCACCCCTATTTTTTCCAGTGTTCTATAAACTGGTTATATTGTCTTCATGAGGAAAAGGGGAAGCTATCCTGTTATTAGTTTTAAACTGTCAAATGATGGACCTTATTTCTATATTCTGCTTTTTGTTTCAGAAAATAGCCCATAAAAATATGCTGGCAGAGCTGTACCAGTACCCACAATTTAACAGCGCTGTGCCAAACAGGCTTCCAAACGGGGTGAACTTCTGTGACATGGTGGGCAATGTGGTCCGGGCTGAGAGAAACCGCCTGAGTGGCAAGGTAAGGAAAGACAGTGGGCAGTTCACCAGTGTGACATCAGCTCTCTGAGACCCAGCTGTACCCCAGCTTTGCAGCAAGCTATGTTGCAGGCAGATGCGGCTTTCCCTGATTTATACCCCAAGAAACAGAGTCAAGGTCACTAAGTAAGTCATTCAGGGCCACACGGTTTGCAAGTGACTGAGCTGAGATTAGAACCCAAGCCTACATGTTCCCTCCAAAATCTAGATTCTTCCTCCCAGAGCACTGGTTTCCAGACTGTTTTGATCACATATCCTATCGGCAAAAACTTCTGAGTGTGTGCCCTCATGATGTATTGTTTCTTTATAAATGATATGCTTGCTCTGTTGTCAACAGCTACATTGTTTATTAGTAATCTTAATTTCTTGTTTTTCTTTAAAAAAAAAAGATTTTTATTTATTTATTCATGAGAAACAGAGAGAGAGAGAGGCAGAGGCAGAGGGATAAGTAGGCTCCATGCAGGGAGCCTGACGTGGAACTCAATCCCGGGCCTCCAGGACCATGCCCTGGGCTGAAGGCAGCGCTAAACCACTGAGCCACCCAGGCTGCCCTAATTTCTTGTTTTTCTTAATTAGACATTAGTTAGAACATTTTCCTCCTACACCCTTTGGTACCACTTGGGGTGAATTAGCACTTGGGGTACTGGAGGGTGCTAGGTTCCTTGGGAAGCAGGGTTGGGGCACTCTGAGGCCCAGAACCTGTGTGAGACAGCACTGGTCACTCAGGACTTGGGGACCAGTTTAAGGAGGGGTGGGGAGTGAGGGAAGCCTAGAATATGGTAGCTATAGCTCTATAGCTGTGCCTCAGCACTCTTCACGACTGTTCACTAACCACCCTGTCCCCAGAACAGCTCCAATCCTTGTCCCCTTGGCTCCTAACTAGTCTCCCCACCATTCCCAGGAGCTTCTTAGTCTTATCTATCCGCACTTCCCACTGCTGCTTCAAACCACTCACTCCTCCATCTCTCTCTCTCTCTTCTCTCCTTCCCTCCGTCCCTCTGTCTCTCTTTCCCTCTCTCCTTCTCTCTCCCTCCCCCCACAGGCCTTCCTTTACTCCCTTCTCTCTTCTCTCTACTGCCTTCTCTCCAGCCCTGCCTCCACATCAGTTCCATATGTCTTGTTCCTCCGCATCTTGCATTAGGACTCTCTAAGAGTGATGATCTGTTCGGGCTAGGTACTGCCCAGTATGATGGTGGTGTTTGCTGGAGTTCCAATACCTAGTTCCAGCGTGCTCCAGCTGCAGCCAGCCTTTGACCAGACAGTGGTCACTCTGGGGTCAGGTACCTGATCCCCTGCTGTCCTCAGCATAGAGATGGAGGAGTGGCGGTACTCAGAGCATCAGATTTACCCCAGGACAATGTAAAAAGATGTTCCCTGCATTGCTATTTATGATAGCAAGGAACTGGAAGGTAGTACATGCTGGTGGCTAGGGAGCTCTCTGGGCTCTAGTTTCTTCTGTAAAATATGGTTAAGAGCAGTCTCTGTGTAGAGGTGTGATTGTAAAATTAAATAGGAGAAGGATCTTATTTAAGTGTATAAAAATGCACTTAGGGGGTGCCAGGGGGGCTCAGTTGGTTAAGCATCCGACACTTGGTTTCTGCTCAGGTCTTGATCTCAGGGTCCTGGGAGTTGGGCTCCACACTCGGGAGTCTGCTCATCCCTCTCCCTCTCCCTCTTCACCTGCTTATGCACGTGCACACATTCAGTCTCTCTCTTTAAATAATAAATCTTTTTTAAAAATGAAAAGTACTAAAAAAAAAAAAAAGGAAAGAAAGAACGAAAAAGAAAAGTACTTGGTCCACTGCTTAGTAATGAATTCTCCCAAAAATGGTCATTTCTATTATCAGCATTATTAGAAACAGTTTAAGGATGATTAATAGAAGGCCAGCACAGTCATTTTGAGTACATCTATTGTGGACTACTTAGCCATTGAACTGAGTGTTTATAAAGAGTGTATTTTGGTATGCAGTGATGTTAAATTAAAAAAATATATCAGGGATCCCTGGGTGTCGCAGCGGTTTAGCGCCTGCCTTTGGCCCAGGGCGTGATCCTGGAGACCCGGGATCGAATCTCACGTCGGGCTCCCGGTGCATGGAGCCTGCTTCTCCCTCTGCCTGTATCTCTGCCTCTCTCCTTCTCTCTCTCTCTCTCTGTGTGACTATCATAAATAAATAAAAATTAAAAAATATATCAGTATATAAAACTCTATAATACGGTCTTAAATAAGCACACATAGAGGAAAATCTGGGGATGAGACCATAGATATTACCAGTGTTCGCTGAGTGATAAGGTTATAGCTTTTCTTTTCTCCTTTTTCTGTACTTTAAAAAGAAGAAAGCAGCACCTGACTGGCTCAGTCAGAAAAGCATACGAGTCTTGATCTTGAGGTCATGAGTTCAAATCCCACAGCACCCACACCCAGTGCCTTCCACTGCACATTCAAATCCCACATAGAGATTACTTAAATAAATAAAAAACTTTAGGGCACCTAGGTGGCTCAGTGGTTGAGTGTCTGTCTTTGGCTCAGGTCGTAATCCTGGGGTCCTGGGATCGAGTCTCACATCGGGTTCCCCACAGGGAGCCTGCTTCTCCCTCTGCCTGTGTCTCTGCCTCTCTGTCTGTCTCTCAGAAATAAATTTTAAAAATCTTTAAAAAAATAAAATAAACTTTAAAAATAAATAGAAGAAAGACTTGAGAATAATTAGATTGTATGTTTCATGGATCGGCCGTCCCTATGTGACCTTTGTGCCCACTGGCACAGCCACACACTCATATTCCATTTGCAATGTGGGTAGCCCCAAGGACAGTGACCACTGTCTTATTTTGGAGGTCCCATGGGGAATGTTCTCTTTAGGCCTTAATCCCCAGAAAACTGTATCTCCTGGCATGCCTTTAGTCGTATAACTGATGCTTATAACTAATATTTTTCTTCAGCCCCCAGGAAACTCAAGGCAAATTTGTGTCTTACCTTTAGTTTATTTATTTTATTTTATTTTATTTTATTTTACTTTATTTTAAGATTTTATTTATTTATTCATAAGAGACACACACACACACACACACACACACACACACACACAGAGGCAGAGACACAGGCAGAGGGAGAAGCAGGCTCCATGCAGGGAGCCCGACATGGGACTCGATCCCAGGACTCCAGGATCAGGCCCTGGGCCAAAGGCAGGCGCTAAACCGCTGAGCCACCTGGGCTGCCCTTATTTTTTTAAGCTTTTATTTTATTGTATTATTTCTTTAAAGTTTTATTTATTGAAAGAATCTCCATACCCGATGTAGGGGCCCCAACTCATGGCCCTAATACCAAGAGTCTCACGCTCCACTGACCGAGCCAGCCGTGCGCTCCCATGTCTTACCTTTAAAAAGTCCCTCATCCATCCTGCTCAGGGGCTATCGCAAACCCTTCTCTACCTCCTCACACCCTCTCCTCCATCACCCTTCTGGGCAGGCAGCCCACGTTGCCTCTGCTTCAGAGACTCTGGAGGACATCCCTGACTGTGAGCTCCACGCGGAGGAAAGGCCTGCTTCCCTCTTTGGACGGTGGCCCCAGCCTGGTACTGAGTCTCACCTGGGACTCGAAGAGTTGGGGGTGCCGGCTGCCCTCACTGCTCATGGCCGCTCTCTTTCTGTCACTGCAGCCTGTCACTGTTTCTGTCCCTGACTGTGGCCCAAGTCACTCTACCCTCTGCTCTCAGAAGGTCAAGTCCAGAGGATGTGGTTTTTTGTTTGTTTTTTTAAAGATTTTATTTATTTATTTATTCATGAGAGACACAGAAAGAGAGGCAGAGACACAGGCAGAGGGAGAAGCAAGCTCCATGCGGGAAGCCCGATGTGGGACTCGATCCCAAGACCCTGGGATCACACCCTGAGCCAAAGGCAGACGCTCACCCACTGAGCCACCCAGGCGCCCCCAGAGGATGTGTTCTGTTATCACTTTAGATGACCCCTCCGTGGAATTGACCCCCTTCATGGAACTGACCTTCCTGCACTCGGAAGTTCTGTCCTTCCTTGGTTTCTGTGCTGGCTTCTCCGTCTATTCAGGCAGTACGCTTGGGCTCCCGAGCCCATGTTCTTGGGGACCCCTACCTCCACTCCATCTTCTCCCTCGGCACGGACGCATGGGCACAGTGGAGGGTGGACATGAGGCATCTTCTCCCGACACAAGGCTCCCCACTGTGTCATATCTCCAAACCCCATGCTGTGTGCCCCACTCCCATATTCCCTGCCTCCTGCCCTGCTGGCCCTCAGACCTGTTTCTCTCCCTGTCTTGTCGAAAACCACAGCCTTCCACCAGCCAGTCTCCTCCCTGGCCCTCGCCCCTCTGGCCCAGCAGTCATGTCTTGACCGGACTGTACTTCCTCTTCCCCCAGCCACTGCCAAATTCAGGCCCACGCCTTCTTGTCTGGATCACCAGACACCTGCTGCTCAGCATACCATCTGCCTTACCATCTCAGTCCCCTCTAATGCACCTTCTATGCTGCCTCGAGGGATCTTTCCAGAACAATAATTTTCATGGTGTTCGTGCCCTTTTGAAAATTCTCTGGTGCCAGCTGCCAGAACAACCCTTGGTCCCAGCACCCAGGTGCCTCATGGTCTGACTCCTGCTTGGCCTCTCAGCATCCACACCCAGTGCCTTCCACTGCACAGAGACCCCTTGAAGTTCCCCAGATGTGTGTCCTGCTGTTTCCCCACCTCAGCACATGCTTCCGCCTGTCTGTGGAGCTCTCAGCTCTCTCTTCTTCATCCAGCTGTTTTTATTCTCAAAGCCTCCCCTGGCACCCCGAGCACAGGTTAGCTGCCCCTCTGGGCTCCATATCCCCCTGGATTCCTTCTCTCAGGGCACCCATCACACTAGATTACAAATGTCTGCTTACCTGGGAACACCTCCAGGGCAGGGACTCTCCATCACCAGCCAAGCACCTAGCAGGTGACCAGTAAATAGCCATTGAAGGGCTGAAATGAAATCCTTTTTGAAAGGAAACTGGGGAATGAATGAATGAGAAGTAGCACACCCTTAGCGAGTGTTTCCTAAGTGCCTGGCACTATTCTAAGCATTTTGTAGGTCTCGCTCGCTAGCAGTCCTGGAGGTGGGAACTATCACTGTCACCTCCATTCTTTGTGATGCCAGCAGGCTGTGTCCCAGGACCTGGTGGGGGAGGGGGGCGTCCCATGGGACCAGCCAAGAGGGGCCCTGGCTATTCACAGGACAGAAAGCAAACACGAGCCAGCAGGAGGTGAAAGCAGAGTTTATTGAAGATGTCAGGAAAGTGCAGGTAGAGACAGTGTCTGGGAGACTCAGGAAAGGGATGTGAGTCTTGTCTATGTTTGTGGCCTGGGGTGTTTGTTGAGGGTGGTGGTCTGGTGTATGTGTCCTCACAGGCAGCCAGGAACTGGTTTGAACAAAGACAAAGGCCCAAGTGTTATTCCTTGGAGCCAGGGGTTCTTGGTGTCAATGCCTAGTACCAGGGGGTCTGGAAGACACACATGATGGCTTCTCTAGTCATTGTCACCTGGTCCTTCCTCAGATGTCATCTCTTCCAGAGAAATCATCCACTCCTTGTTCTTTACAAGAAGGATGCACTATCTGCATTAGGAGGCTTGTGTAAAGTGGGGATGCAAGTCCTGGCAAGAAGAGAAACAGGGAAAGGAGTGAAAATATTTTTATGGAGTCCTTCAGTTTCCCTGCCTCCTCTAGATGAGGAATCCGAGTACACACAGGTTCAAGAATGTTGCTCAAGGTCACACAGCTTGTAAGTGTAAAAGCTGGATTTGAATCCAGGCAGTCTGGTACCAAATTGTTGCTCTTAACTGCTCCGACTATACTTTTTCTCTAAGGAAACAGGAGGAATGGTGAAAAAGAAAGTGAAGAGCAGGGATCAGAGAGCTCCCTGCTCATAAGAGGGTTGCTTATCAATGCACCATGCCCTCAGCTTCCGTGGGCCTGAAGGGAGAGCCAGGAGGTCTCTCCCTGTGCATCTAGGAGAGAGGTAAAAGTGGGATTGATGTAGTTAGGACATATAGGTGAGGTTTGCTGGGGTGAGGTCTGGAGCCGATCACCAAGAAAGGGTTCTTGAGATGTCTTTGGTGCAAAATGGTGGTTCTATGAAAGCATGGGGACAGGACCCATGGGCAGAAAGAGCTGCTGCACCGGGGTTGTGAGGGGTGCTGATTATATACTTGGGGGTTGGGAGAGGTAAGGAAAAGGGAGGTTTCCAAAAGAACTTTCATATGCTAAAGAGTACCTACAAGATACTGGAGGCCTTCCCACTGCCAAGTTAAGGTGGTTTTTTTCCCTCTAGCAATGCATTAACATTAAGATAGTTGGGAGCTTCCTGGAGGAATATTACACTCTTCCCACTTCAAGTCTCTGTCAATGGGCTACAGGTTATTATTATTTTTTAAAGATTTATTTATTTATTTATTCATGAGAGAAACAGAGCGGTAGAGACACAGGCAGAGGGAGAAGCAGGCTCCATGCAGGGAGCCTGATGTGGGACTTGATTCCGGAACTCCAGGATCACGCTCTGAGCCAAAGGCAGATGCTCAACCACTGAGCTACTCAGGCATCCTTGGGCTACAGGTTATAAGGACATTTAATTGTATGTACATTTCTTTTTTTTTTCTTTTAAAGATTTTATTTATTCATTCATGAGAGACACAGAGAGAGAAAGAGAGAGAGAGAGAGGCAGAGACACAGGCAGAGGGAGAAGCAGGCTCTGTGCAGGGAGCCCGAAGTGGGACTTGATCCCGGGTCTCCAGGATCACACCCTGGGCTGAAGGTGGCGCTAAAGCGCTGAGCCCCCCAGCTGCCCTGTATGTCCATTTCCTTCTGGAAGCTAGGTGATTGATAAAAATTCTTTGTTCTTGTAAATCACTAAGACATTTGTAAGCTGAGGGAGACCCCTGTCTTGCTGGACTGTGCTCTCTCTAAATTAACTACTTGTTTTTCCTTTCCTTAGCTTTAGGGCAGCCAGGAGTGCCTGAGGAATGTCACACATATCCCACCTGGTGGGGGGGGGGGGGTTGGAGTTGCAGGGTGTCCGCTTGTGTTGTGTCCTCAGCTAGCCCTCATCAGAATCTCTTTGCTCTTCACTCTTCATAATGCTAAGAGGCAACCTGTTTGGTGTTTCCGGGGTCAGGCAGCCTGCTTCCAGAGCCTTCCGGGTTATATGAATTTAGGCAGGAATCCTAAACTTTCAATCCATACTTTCCTCTTCTATAAATCAGGGATACCTATGGTATCTACCACATAGATTGTGAAAAACGAAGTGAGATAAGGAGTGAATGTGCATAGCCCAGGGCCTGACACAGGATAAGCATTCAACAAATAGGACACAATATTATATTATTTAGGTAGTAGCTTTGGAATCAGAGTAAGGTTCAAGACCATATGGCATCGCAATGAAATCTGAATTTTCTGACCCTCTTGATGGGGAACAGAGGGCTAGCTGAGGACAAAGCACAAACTGACACCCCACAAACAACTCCCTCACCCACGGTGGGAGACCTGTGACATTCCTCAGGAAGTTCCCAACTGTCTTAATGTTAATGCCTTGTTAGAAGAAAAAACAACCTTTAACTTGACAATGGCAAGGCCTCCAGTATCTTGTAGGTACTCTTTAGCTTATGCAAATCCTTTTGAAAACTCCCTTTTCCTTACCTCCCCCCACACTGCAGGCATATAATCAGTCACCCCTCACAAGCCCGGGGCAGCAGCTCTTTCTGCCCAAGCAAGGGTTCTGTCCCCGTGCTTTCATAGAACCACCGTTTTGCACCAAAGACGTCTCAAAAACTCTTTCTTTGTCATTGGCTCCAGACCTCACCTATACCAAAACCACATCACTCCGACTTCCCTGATATTCTATTCTAAGTTCTAGAATTCCATAGGCTTACTAGGAACCCGGCAGAATCTTCTGGTCCAGTGATTTGCATTTGTGTAGTATCTGTGTTTGTTGATTGTAGCTAATTGAAGTAGGTGAGAACTTGGAGCAGGGGCCTGGAGTTACAGGGTTCAGTCCCTGCTCTGCCACTCGCTGGCTTATTACTTTGGACAAGTAACTTCAGCTCTTTGGTTCTTGGTATCCTCATCTGTAAAACGTAAACTGTAAACAAACTATAAGACAAAACATTGTAATGGTTAAATGAGAGCATGTAAAAACACCTGGAAAGATAAATAGTTGACACCTACTTTAAAGGTTTAAAGTGTTGGGACGCCTGGGTGGCTCAGTGGTTGAGCGTCTTACCTTCAGCTCAGGTAGTGATCTCAGGGTCCTGGGATTAAGTCCCACATTGGAGTCCCTGCGGGAAGTCTGCTTCTCCCTCTGCCTACATCTCTGCCTCTCTCTCTGTGTGTCTCGTGAATAAATAAATAAACTCTTAAAAAAAAGGGGGGGGTAAGTGTGGGGCACCTGGGTGGTTCAGTTGATTGTCTGCCTTCTGCTCAGGTTATGATCCTGTTGGGTTCTGGGATCGAGCCCTGCATCAGGCTCTTTGCGCAGCAGCGAGTCTGCTTCTCTCTGTGATCTCTCCGGCTCTCACTCTCTCAAATAAATAAATAAAATCTTTAAAAAATAATAATAATGAAAGGTAAGTGTTGTTTTTAAGGTGACGCCCAAGTATGTTAACTCTACAGATGACTGGCGGGAAGATGGTATGATTAGTAACAGCCTCAAGCTGTGGAATGAAGGAGGAAAGGTGGGTCTTGGATGGAGAGGATTATGAATCTGCCTGTGGCTCCAGGTGAAAAATGAGTGTTCAAAAACAAGAGGAATAATAATTTGATTTTTGTTGTTTGTTTGTTTGTTTGTTTCAAGTCTTTCTGTTCAGATAAAGAATTAGAGAAATTCCTCTCTTCTCCTTCTCCAAGAGCCATGTGGTTGGATAGCTTCTGGTGGATCTTTCATGAGAGGTACCAGGTAACACAAATCTGATTGCTTCTCTCCCTTGCTTATTTTTCTCTGGAACAAACCCAACCTCTTTCACATGGGCTGTAAACCTCTGATTTTGTGGAGCACTCCTGCAGCCTCATCTGCCACCTTGACCACCCCCCCTGTGCCCCCTCCCTCCCCAGTGCCTCACCTACCCAGACACCCCATGCCTCAGCCACTGCACAATGTCTTGTAGCTCCCTGAGTGTTAAGAACCATTCTGTGTCACAGGGCTGGTCAAGCATAGGGCCGGAAGCAGAGTCAGGACCTCCCAGCCCAGCGTTTGGGTGCTTTCTTCAACAATCTGTCTCTATGTATATATCTATTTTATAAATCCTATGAAAATTAGTGTACTATTTCATTAATAACATGAGGTTAAATATCTCAAGAATGAGTTTCCTATACATGAGAAAAGTACATATTTCAGAATCTCAGCCGTTGGCCATTTAAACCAGGGGCTCTAGTAATTCCTTCTCCACTTTTATTCCTGGTAGCCAAACAAGGAGGTCCAGAATAAGCTGTTTGACCGGATATCCCAAAACTACGCCTCTCTCTTGCTGCATGAATTCAAGTCCCACTATGAAGAGGCTCTCTTAAAAGTGAGCATCAAGCACTGTTTGGAGAAAAAAAATCACACTAGATATCTCTTCACTTCTATTGCCAATAGAATGCCCATAACATTCTGTGAGGGAGTAAGCAGTGAGTTGTGCTATATTCTTACACTGACTTGTAATGCAGCAGTTAAAATAAATAAGGCAGATTTATATATGGTATATTTTAAGTAAAAAGCAAAGCAATTTATAGAACTCTGTGTTTAAAAATGTGTATGTGTGTGTGTATATATATATGTATGTGTGCCTCTGAATAGAAAAAAAAGATCTAGAAAAATACTTACCAAACTCAGCAATGGTTATCACTGCGGAATGAGGCTGTAAGAGACTTCCTTTCCCATTTCATATATTTCTGTAGTATTTAAATAAGCGTGTAATTTTAAAAGTATAAATATACATATATTCACAAAGACTGATTTAACTACATAAATTATTTAAAGTACCATAGTCAGAGTTAAAAGGCAAAGGAGAAACGGCAGAAATCACATAGCACATACATCACACAATGTAGCGAACGCTTACAAATCGGGGTGCCTGGCTGGCTCAGTCAGAGGCACATTTGACTCTTGATCTTGGTGTTGTGAGTTCAAGCCCCACTTTGGGTGTGGAGATTACTTAAATAAAAACTTTTAAAAAAGAACTCTTACAGGGATCCCTGGGTGGCTCAGCGGTTTAGCACCTGCCTTTGGCCCAGGGTATGATTCTGGGGTCCCGGGATTGAGTCCCACCTTGGCCTCCCTGCATGGAGCCTGCTTCTCCCTCTGTCTTTGTCTCTGCCTCTCTCTCTGTAGGTCTCTCATGAATAAATAAAATCTTAAAAAAAAAAAAAACTCTTACAAATTGATAAGTAAAGATGAGGGGCGCCTGGGTAGCTCAGTGGTTGAGCATCTGTCTTCGGCTCAGGTCGTGATTCCGGGGTCCTGGGATGGAGTCCTACATTGGGCTTCCCGCCGGGAGCCTGCTTCTCCCTCTGCCTGTGTCTCTGCCTCTCTCTCTCTGTGTCTCTCATGAATAAATAAATAAAATATTTTTTAAAAAGATTAAAAACATAAAACAATAATCATTTGATACTCCTTTTTACCTGCTAGATGCATTGATTAAAAAGAATGATTCCCAGGGTTGTGAAGCATCTAGGGAAATGGCGCTCTGAGAGTCTGAGAAGTAAATTAATATATTTTTGCTACAAGGCAGTTATACTAGTTAAGTGTCCACCTACCAAATCACTTCGATGTTCTGTGCCCCAGTTTCGTCATCTATAAAATGGAGGTGATAGTGCCTCGCTCACTGAGTTATCCTAAGGATTAATTAAATAAGATGATGTTTGTAAGGCATCTGACATATCGCCCAGCACCCCAAGCGCATTATAACTGCTGTAATTACTATCATGATTCCATCTTCTGGAGGTCATAATCGAATACTCAGGAAAAGCTGCCTTCCCTCATGCATGCAACAGATTTTTGCCTGCGATGTGCCAGACAGAGAGATACTTAACAAAATAATTATTCCACATAATTAGTAATATAAAGGGATAGTATCCATTGATGGGGATGTTGAATGATTTTGATTTGACTACTCAGCACAATATTATGAAGGTCACTCCTGGCAAAAAAAAGAAAATTCCAAAAAGTTGATAAGAACCCAAGGAAGTGCTTATATTATATTGTTAAATGAATTAAGCCAGATACAAATGTGTAATTTAAGATCAACTCAAGTTGAGAAGGAACAGCAGTACCACCTATGCGTAGGGAAAAAAACCCAGTAGTAGTACTTCCTGCTATCTCCCAGAGGTAGCAAGATGGGCAGGTCAAGGGTATGTCCTCATCTGGACTACTCTTGCAGGTGGCAGAAGGCTGAGCCGCAGACCACCTGCAGAGGAGCTGGGGGAGGGGGAGGCTGCTGGCCAAGCAAGGCGAGCAACAGGTTTGAGGTGTGGCCCCCAGGTAGGGTCAGGGGTCCGCCAAGACGTGGGCCAGCAGCAGAGGGAAATTGCCACCCCCATCTCCTCCATGAGTGGAAGGCCGTGTGGTGTCAGGTAAAGAGTTTAATCATGGATCCTTTTGGCAGTCAGGGGCTCTTTTCTGGTTGTGGAAATGTCCAGAATGTTGCCTGAGCTCTGCTTCCCGCCCCCCACCAGAGGTTGCCATCGCTTCTAAGTAAAGCCGTGTACACCAGCTTCTGTTGCTGTTTCCCGCAGTCCTGGTTCAACACGCATGAATTCAAATCAGACATCTGTAACACAATGAGCCTGTGGATTTCAGGTAAGGAGGCCTGCTCTGTTCTGGGGGCAGCAATTCCGGAAACACTTTTCTGCCTGGGCCTCAGTGTGTTGTTGCCATCACACCTCTCAGTGAGGCAGTTGTCCTTTGCTCCTGTTGACATTAAAGAAGGTAAGGTGTGCGGTCAGAGCCCCCAGGAGTACTGATTGCCCTGTTTCCACAAAATAGTGCGGAGACATTCCTCGTTGCCTTATTGTGTCCCTCGATCTGCAGGAAGCAGGTTTTAGCAGAGGTCAGTTGGTCATGTGCTACGGGTCAATGGACCCAGAGCTCAGGAACCCAAAACCGTATGCTGATTGAATGATCCCACTCTTCAACTCCGGGGTGACCCCGTGTCGCCCAACTGTAGTCCCCTCATCCCTGCCGTGCACACAGTGCCAGGCTGATGTTTGCTTTTAACTACTTTTCACTCCCCTTCCTACTCCTTTCTTCTGGACCTAGATATTTTCTAAGGTCATTAACATCTGCCTATTGAGACGTTCCTGTGTACTAAGTACTGCACTAAGTAAGCACTTTTTTTTTTACATTTCCTATTGTCCTGGGGGTCTCCCAAGTTCACTTCCACATTGGGATATTTGCTCAGAGAACTCACAGTCTCAGCATGTAGTTACGTTCACGGCTAAGATTATGGCAATGAAGTGAGGATACACAGCCAGGGAATACTCTTTTTCTTAAAAAAAAAAAAAAATTATTCGTTCATTCATGAGAGACACAGGCAGAAGGAGAAGCAGGCTTCATGCATGGAGCCCGATGTGGGACTCTATCCCAGGACCCCAGAACCCCAGGATCACAACCTGAGCCTAAAGCAGACGCTCAACCACTGAGCCACCCAGGTGCCTCCGGTGCCCCCAGCCAAGGAATACTCTTAAGGGAAAAAACAGGCAGAGTCTGGAGGAATTCATGGTGTGGGCTTCCTTTTGCTCTCTTCTTTCTATGAGGAGTTAGGCAGGGCGCTCTCATCCCTCTACAACAAAAATGTAGCAACATGTTTGATGTTTCTGCCTGGGGAAGCCTACAGGAGACACAGCACCCGCAGCTTATACTGGGGGCTGGTCACATAGACACCTCTATCAGGTACCAAAATTCCAGGAAGGCAGGTGTTCAGCAGAAGCCACGTTGTTTTATAGATTGTTTAGGCACATTAAGCCTCTTTTGACAGGGAAAAAAAATTTTCTCCAGCTATATTATTATAATTGATGTACAACATTCTGTAAACTTAAAATACACAAAGTAATGATTTGATGCAGGCATCTATTGGGGAATGTTGACCATGATAAGGTTAGTTAACACATCCTTCACCAAATAATTACCATTTTGTTGTTATGGCGAGAAGACTTAAGGTCTACTCTCAAAGCAATGCTCAAATATACAACACACTGTTATTAACTGTAGTCATCATGCTTGTACATTAGATGCCTGGAACTGGTTCCTCATATAACTGGAAGTTTATACCCTTTGACCAACATTTCTTCCTTTTCTCCATCCCCAGCCCTGGCAACCACCATTGTACTCTCTGCTTCTATGAGCTTGGCTTTTTCGATTCCATGTATAAGTGAGATTATATGGTATTTGTCTCTCTGTCTGCTTTATTTCACTTAGCATAATGCCCTCAGGGTTCATCCATGCTGTTGCAGTGTATGATTTTCCTTCCTTGTCTGTGACTGGATAATATTCCATCATGTGTATATACCACATTTTCTTTATCCATTCATCATCCATGCATGGACTGTCAGGTTGTTTCTACGTCTTGGCTGTAGTGAATAATGCTGCAGTGAATATGGGAGTACAGGCATCTTTCTGAGAGAGATTTCTTTTTTTTTCTTTTTCTTTTTTTTTTTAAGATTTTATTTACTTATTCAGAGAGAGAGAGGCAGAGACACAGGCAGAGGGAGAAGCAGGCTCCCTGTAGGGAGCCCAATGCAGAACTCAGTCCCAGGACTCTGGGCTCACGACCTGAGTCAAAGGCAGATGCTCAACCCCTGAGCCACCCAGGTGCCCCCACATGGTTTTCTTACAAGAAGAGCATTAACCCCATAAACATCACCATCAGATATTTAGGGAGAACCCGTTTCTGGTTAGCTAAGTATGATAATATGTTGAGCAAATACTTACTAATCTCCTATTTATCATGTGCTAGGTCCAGTGCTAAGCCCTGGAGATGCACAGGTGAATAAGATCCAGGTCTTGTGCTCGGGAGCTCATAGTCCAACAGGAAGAGAGGAGATAATCACTCCAGGAAAAGGAGTGATTACAATGCCTTCACATCTGGACAGCACAGGATCACGTGTCCTGGTGTGATCCAGTTGTCATACCCACACTGTCTGGGGGTGCCAGGCGAACCTCGCCATCTCTTTTCCAGAGGAAGCCACCAAAGCTTCCTATAGATGCAGAGATGCAGGAAGTGGCTTCCTCAAGGCCACAGGCCCAGTGTAGGATGGGGCTAAGGCTTGAACCCCCTTCCCCAGGACCAGTGGGGGAGGGAGAGGAGAGGCTCTGTCTTGTTTTCTGCCTCCTTTCTCTTCTATGGAAGTTTTCATGATCACTCTTCACTCCCTGTTAGGTATCTACCCTTGCCTGCAGAGCTATAACAGCTGGGACTATTCAGAACTGGATCCAGAGAGATTCCGGAGAGAAAAAATAATTCTTCAGAGAAGATTGTTAAAGAGTAAGGTACCCCTTGTGGATCTGGGCCCCCTTTATTCCTGCCACCATCCAGTTGGGGCAGGGCAGGGCCTGGCAGGCTAGGGCCTTAGTGTTGGCTGGGTTCCCTCTCACATTCCCCCAAACTAGCCACCAACATGACTGAAATGCTTTCGCTTAGGAATTCTAGAGTCAGCACGACATAATAGCTGGGAAACAGAGGTGGAACTTTATGTTAATTATACTGAGGGATGCCAGTGACTGGGTGTCTACTCTGGGTGAGGTTCCATGCTGGGTCTTTATCCATGTACTTAATCTCACAACAACCAGCTTGAGTACACACTAAATCCATTTCACAGATAAGGAAAGTAGAGTCCAGAGAAGCAAGTTGCCCAAGGCCTACTTTCTTATGGCACGCAACAGGTGCATAAAGGGCCCTGTGTGCCAGACACGCATGCCCCGGCAGTGCAGTCTAGTGGAAAATTTAGGTCCCACAGTCACACTGCCATGGATTAGGCACTGCGGTGGCGCAGGGAGAGATACCCAGTCTAGCCCTGAGATGGTCAGTCAGTGGCATGCAAGCTGAGATTTGAAGGATGTGTATTTTAGACAAGTGAAGGGGACAATTACTGTTCCAGATGGAGGGAACAGCATGTGAGAAGACCTAGAGGCATTCCTCATGGCAGCCGTGAGAGGACTCTTAACGGGTAACCAGCCCATGGGTGACGAGGCCAGAATCCAAACTCAGGACTGCAAAGCCAGAGAGACACATGCTGAGTTTGGCAGATATTTCCTCCAGCAAGGGCATATCGACCCATTTCATGGGTGCACCCCAGAGTCGCAGCGAAGCCCTATCTTTCATGGGTCAATAGGACCCAGGGGGCAGACAACACCCCACTAATAAAGTCCCTTAACCACACACAGGACTTTTTGGAAGTGGAAGATAGGAGTGAGAAAATTATTTTTGTCTTAAATATAGTGCAAACAGTTCGTGCTGTAGAGAACGAGTCTGACCACAAAGTGGTACTCTGATTAACAATAAAAATAATGCTATTGTACACTGGCTGCATTCTTTGCACCAGCCACTGGTTGGGTTCTTTTGTGTCATCCCTACCTGAACCTCACGAGTGAGCCTGTCACCCTAATCTTACAGCAGGATTTGAGGTGCAGAGAGGTTCCTGCGCCCAGGGCTTCCTGGCACAACTGGGGGCCAGGATTTTGCCCAGACGACTAATCAGCCTCCTGCTCTTGTCAGCCGGTGGCCTCTGTGGCCAAGGACATGGTTCTCCCCTCTCAGCCTACCTCCCTTAGGGAAACTGAGGTCACTCAGCAGGACTGGGGGGCCTCCTGAGAAGCATACTGTCCCTGGAGGGGCTCTAGCAAGGCCTGTCACATGCTGCTTATAAGGACGAGCGGCATCAGCATCTCTAGAAGGGCTAAAGCGGACTCTGCGGTGACCGCCGCCCCCCCCCCCCCCCAGGATCTCTGAATGTTGTCCAGTTTGCGAGACACTGGCGCAGGGCCCAGGGAAGGCAGTGCTCAGAGAAGAGCACGGCTGCCTTATTGAGTGGAAATGATAGCTTCGCTACTCCTCCTGAGCCCGGCATTTTCATTGCTGCTTTTCTCAGCATTTACATTTACTGACCCACTTAATATGTTCCCTTTCCCAGCAATCACCATGGACACACAGAAATTTCAAAGTGAAAAAAAAAATGTAACCTGTAAAGGGTCTTCAAATTTAATGACACTCCCTGGGGATGATTGTTACTTTTCTAAGGGATTAATTCAACATTTATTCATTTCAGTGTTTCGAGGTTTTGAGTTTTTTGTTTTTCTTTTGAAGCCAGTACTTGTTTTTTTTTTTTCTTCATGTGGGTTGACTGCTTGCCCTGTGTACTAGCCTCTGTATACATGATTTACTCTAATTTTGTTCAGCAGCCCCACAAAGGTAGGTAGTGTTCAGACCTCCAGCAGGATCAGAGAGGTTAGGTAACTTGCCCAAGGTCACTCAGCAGAGGGAATTACAGAGGCTCTGAATGACAGTTTGCCTGAGGTCCATTGTCCTGCTATGGCTGTTGCCTCCAGGGAGGGGGCTGTGTCAGAACTCCTGGTCTGCAGTGTCAGCTCCCAGACCAGAAGGGACTGAAGCACATTTTTCTCTTCTCTAGAAAGAGAGTTCTCTTTGTTCACTTCTAAGAGATGTATCTCCCAGATGTCTATCCAGAACAAGAAAATCCATTGCCTTAAGGTGAGTAGAGGGGCACAAACCCGGACCCCTTGTATCCCCAAAAGCTGCAATAACTTCTAGTTGGTTCCACATCTCTGCACTCCCTGTCCATCATCTCGGGGAGGGATCCGGGTCACTCTAGGTCTGTGTGAGTGAGTAGAGCACTGCAGGGTCACCCCACAGAAGTGCAGTGATTGGGGGATGAGAGGAACAGAAGCAGTTTCTAAATGTAGGCTCAGCTCAAAGCGTTTTCGTATTTTTGCCTATCACTCCTCATCATAAACCTGCACTTGGCTCTCCTATCTGATGTACGAAAGATGTTTAGGGTTCAAAGCTGGTGGCCAAGAAAGAATTCTTGTGACGTCTTTGATGCAAAAAGGTGGTTTTATTAAAGCACAGGGACAGGAGCCATGGGCAGAAAGAGCTGCACTGGGGTTGTGACAGGTGGCTGGGCCGTTATATACTTCCGTGTGGGGAAGGGGTTAGGGAGAACCTGAGTCTAAGGAATTTTGGAAGCAAGGTTTCCAGGACCTTGAGGGAGCTAGCTATTGTTGGGATAAGGTCATTTCACTGTCTGATAAACCCTTAGTCATGAGACCCTTCAGATGTCTGTCGGTGGGTCATATGCTTGCAGGATGATTGCCAACACGTATCTTGGGGGGTTTAGAGATAAAGGAAGTTTCCAAAGGAATGTTTATATGTTAAAGTAGATTCACAGGATCGTGGGGGTCGGGCTAGGATTGCCTTTTGCCCTTTGCCAAGTATTAACATCGAGGCAGCTGAGCTCCTAGAAGAAGGTCACTCTGCCTGTTTCAAGGACTTGTCAGTGGGCTGTAGGGAGTAAGGAAACTTGATTTGTCTTCTGCCTTTGTTTCCCACATCATGCTTGACACCACCTTGCCCCTCTCTGCCCTGTGATGTTCCCTCCTAGGTAGCTCCAGCACCACCTCTCCCCTCCATTTTGCCCCTCTCCTGTCCCCAAATTCAGTTTGAGCTCCTTCTCTGTTGTCATAGGATCCTGGATACCTGCAGTCTTTTCCATTTTAGTATATGTGCTACCAAAGCGAGCACCCTGCAATCTTTTCAAAATGCAGATCTAATTATGTTATACTGTCACCCCCTGGTCCCGCCCTACTCACCCTACCAGAAACACCATCCCCCAGCCCAAATGAAAAATACCTCCCAAACTTCAGAAGGCTTCCTCTTGCCTTGGGGTAGACTGATCTGTGTGGCCCCGCCATGACCTGTCAGCCCTATCCCCACCCTCCTCTGCTCTTGGGGTCCCCCTGCAGGGTTGTTCTCTCAGTTCCTTGTAGACATCACATCCCCTACCAACACCTGGCCTTTGTACCTACCAACACTCCCTCCCCCACTGCCACCAGCATCATCAGCATCTCCTCCCCTTGGTAACATGAAACCTGCCAAATACTACCTAGCAAGGCATACTTTTTCCAGAGAGCTGGAAAAAAAATGCCTGGGAAAACTATGAATGAGGCCTTTTGCTGCCCCCCCTTTTCTTTAAAGATGTTAATTTATTTTGGAGAGAAATAGATAGCAAGAGATTGAGCATGAGTAGCGGGGAGAGGGAGAAGCACACTCCCTGTTGAGCAGGGAGCCCGACATGAGCCTTGATCCCAGGATCATGACCTGAGCCGAAGGCACACACACCTAACAGTCTGAGCCACCCAGGCGCCCCATTGCTGCCCGTTTTTGTAAGTAATACACTTACTGGCACACAGCTGAGGTCACTGGTTGTCTGCTGTCTTCGATGATCTTTGCTCTCCAATGACAGAGTTGAGTACTTGTCATATAGACCTTATGGCCTGCAAAGCTGTAGACATTCACTCTCTGGCTGTTTGCAGGAGTGTGCAGGGGACAAGCACTCATCCTATCCCAGCTGAAGCCTCGGGGCCAGCGGTCTCTACCCTGCTCCACATTCTGTCCCTTGTTCTGTGCGCTCAGAGCCCTCTCCTTCCAAACTATGGAATTATTCAGTCATTGCTCTGATGGCTGTGTCTCCCACTAATCTTTAAGCTGTAGACCCACATCCTTGTTTCTAATACCTTTGTTCTTAATAAGTAGGATAGGAGGTATGAGGCTTGACTCATCATTAGACCAGCCTTTCCCCTTTGCTTGGAGCTGGGTGGGCGGTGTTTCCACCCTGGAACATTCACCAGGTATTTGAAATGAATGGGTGAAGGGTGTGCCTTTCTGTTGTAAAATGGGATAAAGGCCCACTGCCAACTCCCACGTGTTCTCAGGAGAATCGCTTTTCGAAAACAGGATGTGAGGACATTTGGGGATCTGGCAATGGACATCCTTCTAATTGGCAATCCCAGTATTCCTTGGAAAGTCTTCATGTCCCCATAGGGGTTGAAGGTCTCTGGTTAAAGCCTGCTCTCTGTTCTGAAGAAAAGATTCACGGGAGCCATACTCTTCAGTTTTAAGGGGCAAAAAACCACTTTATTGATATTATAAAAATCTAACAGAAACAAAAATAAGGGAAATCTGCACATACATGAGGGATATAGTAAGCAGGAAAAGAGAATAAGGCAAAGTTATATCAAATCTGGTACTTACGACATCCAACCTCATCACTGGGGGGAGCCCCCTGGAGACAGCCAGGCTGGAGTCCTGATGGAGAGGTCTGGGCCAAGCATCCTCCCCTCCAATGAGACTTCAACTGTCCCTATTAATTTCAACTGACCCTAATAAGGGCCCTATTTATAGGGCAAATAAGTATTTGTAGGGCAAATGACTGGGGTCTGAAGTGAAACATTTGTTTGCCTATGGCAGTTTGGAGCAAGCTGCATTTCTATGTTATCATGTCTTTACATCTTCAAGGAGCCTGGGCTAGGTGTGCTTGGCTCCCCTCTGGGATTCTGGGGCAGCTAGCCCAACCTGGAGGCTGCAAGGCAAATTTTATAGCTCTTGGCGTCCAGACCAGAAGGGCCAGTTCTAACCTAGTAGGTCAACTAATGTCAACTAACCAGACTCCTGAGGTCACTTACGCAGCACGAGTCTCACAAACAACAATCTTTAGCCTACCTGCATCCATGTGGGACACATCACAGAAACCATCCATACAATGAGCCATCCAAACATTCCCCCAATTCAGACTGCAGTTGTGCAGCCTCCATGGCTCTGACACTAATGTCACCACTTTAAGTCCCTGTCATGTGGTTGGCTGCTCCCACCTTCTTGAGATGCTCTTTTCTCTTGGCTTCTATGTTGCCAGACTTTTGTGAGTGCCTTCCTTCCTGGCTGGCTCCCTGTCCTGTCAGTCGGTCTGACATGGCCCCTTCCCCTCTACCTATGTATTCTCCCCATGTGGGTCTCATCTGGTCCTCTAGATTGATTGATTGATTGATTGATTGATTGATTTAAAGATTTTATTTATTTATTCATGAGAGACACAGAGAGAGGCAGAGATACAGGCAGAGGGAGAAGCAGGCTCCATGCAGGGAGCCCGATGTGGGACTTGATCCCCGGACTCCAGGATCACGCCCTGGGCCAAAGGCAGGTGCTAAACAGCTGAGCCACCCAGGGATCCCTGGTCCTCTAGCTTTAAATGTCACCCATGTGCCAGTAACACCCAAATCTGCCTCCCCACCCTGGCGTACCCAGTCACCCCCTGGGCCTCACCAGGGAGGATCTCAATGTGCAAGGCGGGAGGAGGTTGCCAGGAGGTTGCTAGATCCAGCATCAATTGTCTCCCAGAAAGGGGCAGCAGCCTCTTCCCGGGCTCCTCTCTTTCACCCTTGCCCCAGCCTGGTCTCCACACAGTGACCAGAGTGACGTTTTCAAAGACATACACTAGATGAGATTGTTCTCCACTTAAAACCTCCAGTGGCGGGCAGCCCAGGTGGCTCAGCGATTTGGCGCCGCCTTCAGCCCAGGGAGTGATCCTGGAGACCCGGGATTGAGTTCCATGTCAGGCTCCGTGCATGGAGCCTGCTTCTCCCACTGTCTGTGTCTCTGCCTCTTTCTCTTTCTCTCTCTCTCCCTCTGTCTCTCATGAATAAATAAATAAAATCTTTTAAAAACATACAGATAAAAATAACAAGGTTTAAAAAAAACTTCAGTGCCTTCTCCAGTGCACTGGAATCAAATCCAGACTCCTTAGCCTGATTTGGACTACCCTGCAGAATCTGACCATCGCCTCCCCCTCCAGCCTCTTCACATCCTTTCACTCCCTTGGTGCCAGACATCAGCCCGTCAGACTTCCTTCTGCCCCTTGGACACTGCAGGCCTGTGTCCAGTTGGGCCCTTGTACTGTGACCTTTGCCTCAACGTGCTTTCCTTAGAATTCCAAGGGAATGGCTGGCTCTTCCTTGTCCTTCAGAGTCTAATTTCATGGATATTGCCCTAACAACAGCGATCCTGACCTCCCAGCTACTCTCATCACATGGCTGATTTAGTGCCCTGTATAGGGCTGCTCACAGACTGGTGCTCTTGCTGGGGGATTTATGTATTGTTTATGTCTAGGCTCTATTAGAATGTAAACTCCATGAGGACAGGGCCCCTTTACTCACTGTTCTATCTCTAGTTCCTAGAACTGACCCTAGCACAAAGAAGGCACTCAACGAATACTTCTTGACTTTATGAATGGGGTCATCTGTGTGAAATCTTTTTTTTTAATATTTAATTTATTTAGTTGACAGAGAGAGAACACAAGCAGGGGGAGCAGCAGGCAGAGGAAGAGGGAGAAGCAGACTCCCCCCTGAGCAAGGAGCCTGATGCGGAGCTTGATCCCAGGACCTTGGGATCATGACCCACACTGAAGGCAAATGCTTGGCCAACTGAGCCACCCAGGCTCCCTGTGTAAAGTCTTGGTCCTGTGCTTAGTTTATAATGGTGCTTTCTCTATAAGTGTCCTCCCCGAAGATGTGTAGACAAGCAGGCACTGCAGAGGGATAGCTGTCACTCAGAGACCAAAGTCAAAATATTATTAATGTTTTTTAGCACTGCCTGTCACAACTGTGTAAAACAAAATGTATTTCCTTTGTACTGAAATACATAAAATCTGACGATTATTTCAGAAACCCAACTAAAAATCCAGTTTTCTGCCCCAGAAATAGAAATAATCAAAAGCTTTCCAACCTTGAAAGCAGCTGAAGTTTTACTGGGTGAACCAGGATGAACTAGTGGAATTCCGGGGTGAGGACAGAGCTTCTCACTTGTTTATAGCAGACCGGCTTTCCCATCTGCTCACAGAAATAGCTGTGTTCCAAATGTTTTTCAATGGCAACAATCTTTCTAAGAGTCCACAGTTGAGTTGCTTTAAGTCTGACCTGTGATTTGCCCTTCCCTTGCTTAGATTTGGGGTTGGCCCAGTGGGAATGAAAAAGCCTCTAACTGCATAGGGTTTTCACCCTGAGGCTTGGCTATAAATAAGGGCTCCTACCTTTTAAAGGTGGGGTCATTCATTCATTTAACAAATATTAGAGAAGATCATCAAGGAAGGTCTTTATAAAGAGGCATCATCAGAATTCTTACCTGCAAACAATGGAAATCTCCTCAGGAAGAAATGTGTTAAAGGAAAACAGTTGTGCACCGCTCCCCTGGGAGGGCCAGTGGGTTAGTTTCAGAGGCCATGCCAGCAAGAATGATGCCCAAACCGTCCCACTCCTGAAGGGTATGCTGCTATGCCCTGACCAGTGTTCCTGGATGCTCAAAGCTCCACTCTGCTTCCTGTCAGCAGTCTTCCCCAAACTGGAGTCTGCATGGTGCCACTTCGTCATGTTGGTCATTTATACTTTGAAGTGTCAGGCAGGTGTAGTGCATCTAAAGGACAGACCGTAGGTGAAATGTCTGCATGCCAGCCACAAAAGAAGTTGAGTGGAGTACCTTAAGTCTTTCACCTTGGGGCATGGGTCTTGTGTATGTGGAGAAGGAAGGGTGCACATGTGACAGATAACACTGCCAGGAAGAGCCATTTGAGCTGAGAACCAAAGGATGAGAACTCAGCCATTAAAAGAGTGAATGGAGGGGCACCTGGGTGGCTCAGTGGTTGGGCATCTGCCTTTAGCTCAGGTCATGATCCTGGGGTCCCACATTGGGCTCCCTGCAGGGAGCCTGCTTCTCCCTCTTCCTGTGTCCCTGCCTCTCTCTCTGTGTTTCTCATGAATAAATAAATAAAATCTTAAAAAAAAAAAAAGTGAATGGAAGAACCTTCCAGAAAAAGGGAACAGTATGTGCAAAGGCCCTGAGGCAGAAAAAAAAAGAGCTTGAGATAGTCAAGGAACAGAGAGAAGGCCAATGATACTGTCACTAGCACAAGTGGGAAAGAGGTGTAGGGGTCAAGGCTGGGGAAGTAGCAGGGGTCAGGTCCTATCCAGTTTTGAGGGTCATAGTAAGGAATATGGATATAATTTAAGTGCTACGGGAATCCATGAAATAGGGAAATGACACCATCTAATTTATATTTTTATAAGATTATAAGATCACATTGTCTTCTGAATAAGAGGAATGTAACAGTAGGGGACACAAGACCAGTAAGGAGGCTTTTGTAGTTGTCTCAGGAAGAGACAGTGACAGCAGGTGGTAAAAGGCAAAGACCTGAAATGTGTTTTGTAGCCAGGTCTTTCAACATGGTCTAACTCATTTGCTTTGGGAATGGGGAGGTGGCATAGGGAAGGAAAGGAAGGAGCCAAGGATGCTTCCCCTTTGAATGGCTTAAGCATCTGAATGGTCCCGTTCACCAAGAGGGAGAGTGGAGCCATTTGGTGTAGGGGCAAGCTACCGAGTTGAACTTGTTTACCTTTAAGATGACTGTGAGAAGCGTGGATGCAGATGATACCTAAGTGGTTCAATCTGCAAGACCAGGCTTTGGAGGAGAGGTCTGGGTTAAAGGAAGAATAAGTCTTACCGAAGTTGCCTGACAAAATATGGGAGCTAGGAGTGAAGGACCACCATGGAGCCATAGGTAAAGGCAGGAAAACACATGAGCTTGGTTCCAGAAGATCGAAAATTCCCTCTATGTGATGCCACCTCTCAGTTGTACAGCTTTCAACAAAACTGAGCCTCTATGTTCTTATCTGCAAAATGGACGTCACAACTGACATTCGTTCTTGCAGATTCAGTCCAGGGATAGGAAATGCCTCAGAGATTGCTCAGTCGAATCCTACCAGAATGTCTACTCATTTTACCAGAGTTTTCCCAAGTTCCAGAGCATGGGTACAATAAGGGTATTAACAGTCATGACCCCGACTCCTCCAGCTCATGTCCATACCTGCTAATACCAGATCTGCAAAGTCCCCTGCCCTCCAGACACTTCTGGGCAGCCCCAGATTGAATCTCACATTGGCTCAAAACAGACTCCCTGGGGGCACGTGGGTGGCTCAGCCAGGTAAGCATCTGCCTTCGGCTCGGGTTCTGATCTCGGGGTCCTGGGATCGAGCCCCATGTCAGGCTCCCTGTTCAGCAGGGAGCCTGCCCCCACTCCCTCTGCCCCTTCCCCTCCTACTTGTGCACTCTCTCTCAATCAATCAATAAATAAAATCTTTAAACAACAACAACAACAAAAATAGGCTCCCTGGCTGCCCTGTCCCATCACATCTGAGGCCTCAGCAAGTGAAATGTGAACAGCAGGGTGACCACATGGGGCAGAAGGGGGTTCCATCTCCCTCTGGGCCTTGGTGAGGAGGGATCCCAGAGCCGTCTTAGCTCACCCCCCACCTGCATAACAGACGCCTTGCCTCACACCTCGCAGGGTTACTGGTCAAAGCCCAAGAGAATAAATGGGGAAGTGTTCTCTCCAGGCCTTACAACACCCTTCAAGGCAGGTAATTATTATCTTATTTGACAAAGGGAGCAAGAGACTCGAAGTAGTGAACACCTGCCCCCAGGCCACGCAGCTGACTTCAGCAGACAGCTTACTGAGCTCCTTCTGCATTGCCATGCTGCCTCTCCAACAAATAGACATAATCCCAGGATTTAAATCTATTTAAGTGCATTTGTTCTCTGCTGGACTCCTGATCTCTCTGAGGCCTGTTAACAAGGAGCGTGAAGCTTCATCGAGCCAGGAGCGTTTTCTCTCTAACACATCCCAGCACACATTTTAACACTATAAAAATCAGTAGCTGTTGGACAGCCGGCTGCATGGTACACAGGAAGCCCTTGCGGCGCTCTCCCCATTCAAATATCGTATTTATATACAAGCAAAGTGGTTGTTGAGGCTGGTGGACTGCTTGTCTGCCGCTTGGTGGGCCATCTGTTTAACGTTGCCAAACTCCTCCTCATCCTTAAAGACAGAGCAAAAGTGTCTTCTCTCCTTGGAAGCCCTCCAGCTCTCCCCCAGATGGAATCGAGCGTTCCCCACTCTGGCTTCCGATGAGACTCTGCTCCTACTGCTAGTGGCAGACTTAGTTGTTCCCCGATACCTGAGATCCTCTTGGACCCTAGGAACAGGACTCCTATCTTAGGAAAGTTGTAACCATGAGCTGGAAGAAATCAGAGCCCCTTGGGACTTATACAGCAGAAACACCGAACGAGCCCCGGATCGCCCACCTTCAGGCTGTTTTGTGGCAGAAATTTCTACCTAGTTTGAACCATTGTCATTTTGAGTCTCTGACACTCACCTAACCCCAACTTACATTACCTCTCTAAGGACTATGTGATACTTTCTACCCCTTAATGTAACTGTCTATTTATCGTTCTCTCCTCTGCTAGCCTGGGAGCCCCTCTGGGCAGGGACTAGGTTCCAGGGTGTGCCCAGTGGCAGACATAGTAGCAGTTGCTCAGTAAAATGTCCCCTGATGGAGGTGCCAGGATTGATTGTGTGAACGATGGCAGCAATGCTCACAGAGCATTTCCCATGAGCCACTCATGTGCTTTGCTTACATGAACTCACTTAATCCTCCTAAGAACCTAGGGGGAAACCAAGACAACCAAGAGGTTCAGGGACTTGTCTAAGATTACCAGCTGTTTTGGGGGACAGGCCTGGGACTGGCACCCCGGCCTGCTCCATCCCCAGCACCTGCATTTTCTGTATCAGCCACCTCTTGGCCTTGCTCCTGGGTTGGAGGGCTGAGTGCTCAGGCCATACTGAACAGTCTCCCTTCACATGTTCTGTCACCAAGAACAATGAGAAATGTGTAGGAAATGTCATTCACACTATATTCCTCTCACAACCATTCTACTAAATCTATTCTTTTTTTTTTTTTTTTTCCTCTCCTGGAGTCTCCTGGTATAAGTTCAACCACTGAGAAAGACTCTTTGGCCAAGAAGAGTTTACCAGATAGCTCACAAACACAGAATGTCACCAAAGGTACATTAACTACCTAAAAGGGAAATGTAGGCATTTGGGTTATGATCTCCCAAGCCCCAGTTTCTTGGGTTTATTCAAACATAACTTGCCACCCTCGTTTACCCTTGTAGAGCTAGCCTGGGCCTTGGCATCAAGTAATATCTTAAGAAAGGACAGAATTAAATTTTCAGTTCAACAAGCCCTGATGAAGTTCCACCTTATGATGATGAGTTCAGCATGGTGCTAATATCTGTGGGGAAGATAGGTTGTTAGCCATGGAAGAAAAAACCCTAAGACATGATTGCTCCCCACCCCTCCGTTAGAAACCAGCATTTATTGAGGTAGGAACTAATTTGTGTCCAGGTGTTAATTTATGAAGGAGACTGAGTGACTACACAGAGAGGCCAGTGCCTTCGAAATAAAAGTTTGGTACTCACAGCTCTAGAAACAGAGGCCCAGCACGCCACACAGAGCGACAGGAGGAAGCATCAGGGTCCGTCAGGAGGCAGAACAGAGCAAGGGGAAGGCATAGACCACAGTCTTTCCTGGGATTTCTTTACAAAAGATTAGGCATGAAAGTGTAAACAGGTTAAGGTTAGTTAGAGTGATTCTGGTGGGCTTTGGGGCATAGAGCCTATCCCTAGTTGTCTGGCACTTGGCCCTGGGGTGACTTAGTGCAGGAAAAAAACTGCCTTAGTGTGCAAGAGTTAGAGAAGTCAGTGGTTCAGAGCACTCTGGGTTACGGGGGAGACGTGAACAACTCTGACCATTAATTTTGCCTTAGATGCCAAATAAACAAATAGAGAACCTAAGAAAACATAGAACAGAAACCCTTAAGTATCATTCTAGACACTTTTATGCATGTTATCATTATTCCAAAAAATTAAACAATCCTTTGTCTTGGTGAAGAAATGAAGGCTCAGAGTATATGAATTATGGCTCAATCAATCTGTTATTAAAACAAAATAAAACAAAACTTGAGAACCACCATTGAGAGATATAGCGTGATTCTAAACAGGGGTAAATATTTGTAGGAGACTTTGCAAGTCCTCAAAATGTAAGCATACAATTGACTCTTGAACAATACAGGGGTTAGGGACACAGATCGTACCTCTCACCTCAAAAATCCATGTATAACTTTTGAATCCCCCCAAAACTTAACTACTAATGGCCTACTGTTGACTGGAAGCCTTACAGCCACACAAACAGTTGATTAAACAAGTTTTGTATGTTATATGTATTCTATGCTGTGTTCTTACAATAATGTCACCTAGAAAAAAGAAATTACTGGGATGCCTGGGTGGCTCAGTGGATGAGCGTCTGCCTTTGGCTCAGGGTGTGATCCTGGGGTCTGGGATCAAGTCCTACGTTGGGCTTCCTGCATGGAGCCTGCTTCTCCCCCTGCCTATGTCTCTGCCTCTCTCTCTCTCTGTGTTTCTCATGAATAAATAAATAAAATCTTTTAAAAAATAAAAAATTACTATTAAGAAAATCATAAGGAGGGGCATCTGGGAGGCTCAGTAAGTTAAGCAACCCATTCTCAATCTAAGCTCAGGTCTTGATCTCAGGGTCATGAGTTCAAGCCCCATGTCCAGCGTGGAGACTACTTAAGAAAAAAAAAAAAACCAAAGGCCAATTATATATTCAATTCATGAAGACACATGAGTCAAAGAGGAAGTATTCAAAGGGACTTAGAAAATATTTTGAACTGAATGAAAATGAGACCTTTTTTCCTAACATAAGCATTTAAGGCTATAGATTTCCCTCTGCACACTGAGGTGTTTCACAAATGTTTGGATATGGTCTCTTAATTTTTATTCAGTTCAGATTGTGTTTCCATTTGTAGCTGTTATGAAGAATGTTGCTATGGGCATCCATGTATAAGATTTTGTGTGCTATATGTTTTTATTTCTCTTGAGTATATGTAAACCAACAATTTGGGTTGTTGGTACAATTGCCAGTTGCACCAGGGTACAATTGCCAGGTCATTATGGTGACTTTTTTTTTTTTTTTAGATTTGATTGATTGATTGATTGATTTAGAAATATAAGCAGAAGGAGAAGCAGGCTCCCTGCAGGGAGTCCCATGTGGGACTCCATCCCAGGACCCCGGGATCACAACCTGAGCCAAAGGCAGACAGACGCTCAACCACTGAGCCACCCAGGTGTCCTCATTATGGTAACATTTTGAGGAACTGCTAAACTGTACTCTAAAGTGATCATCAGGGCAGCCCGGGTGGCTCAGCGGTTTAGCGCCGCCTTCAGCCCAGGGTGTGATCCTGGAGACCCGGGATCAAGTCCCATGTCAGGCTCCCTGCATGGAGCCTGCTTCTCCCTCTGCCTGTGTCTCTGCCTCTCTCTCTCTCTCTCTCTCTCTGTCTCTCATGACTAAATAAATAAAATATTTTAAAAATAAATAAATAAATAAATAAAGTGATCATCATATACAGTTTGAATAATTAAGAGGAGAAAAATAGTCTTATATTTACTATATATAACCACATATGTTTACTATTTATATTATATATTTATTATGTATATTATATACTCTATGTAACCAAAAATTTATAATTTCTATTTTTTCCCATCTTTCTTTTTTTAAGATTTTTATTTTTAATTAATCCCTATACCCAACATGGGGCTCGAACTTACAACCTTGAGATCAGGAGTCACAGGCTCTACCAACTGAGCCAGCCAGGCACCCATATTGTTTTTCCATTATTCTTGAAGTTCCAAGCTTCCCTTTGGTACCATTTTCTTTCTACTTGAAACAAAAACAAAAACAAATCAAAACAAAAACTCTTCCTTTAGTATCTCATTTACAATAGGTTTGCTGGCAGTGAATCTCCTTCATTTTCTTTCTTCTGAGAATGTCTTTATTTCACCTTCATTCTGGAAGGGTATTTTTCCTGGATATTCTGGGTTGGCAGTTCTTTTCTTTCAGCCCTATAAAATGTTCTACAGCCATCTGGCCTCAATGGTCCCATGAGAAAATCCAGGCATTTACATAGTAGTTCCCCTTTTGTGTAATGCATTTTTCTCTCTCTGCCCTCAAGATATTTTTCTTTGTCTTGATCTTTCAGCTGGTTGATTAGAATGTGCTTGGGCATGGGTTTCTTTGGATTCAACTTGTTTGGGGTTTGTAGAGCTTCTTGAACCTGTGAGTTTATGTGTTTTGACAAATTTGGGAAGTCTTCAGAGATTATTTCTTTGAATAATTTTTTTTGTACTTCACTCTCTCCTTTTTTTTTTTTTATAAAGATTTTATTTATTTATTCATAAGAGACACAGAAAGAGAGGCAGAGACACAGGCAGAGGGAGGAGAAGTAGGTTCCATGCAAGGAGCCCGATGTGGGACGTGATCATGGGAATCTGGGATCAGGCCCTGAGCCCAAGGCAGATGCTCAACCGCTGAGCCACCCAAGTGTCCCTCTTTCTCCTTTCTTTATGGGACTTTGATGACACGGATGTTGGACCTGTTGGTATTGTTCCCTAGGTCCTTGAGGCCCTGTTCATTTTTTCCAGTGAACATTTTCAATGTCTCCACATTGTTCAGATTGTGTGGTATAATAAAAATATAGATTTGGTCTTTGTCCCCAGTTCCTACACAGAGTTCCTAAAACCCTTAGAGTTTCCCAAGTGATGGGAGTGTCTTTTGTTATTCATAATGAACATCTTTCAACCACACCTCAGGATGTGCTAATAGAATGACTCAGGTTGGGGCTCCAGATGGCTGCAGGATGGACTCTCATTACCAGGAAGACCAAACAGGAGTAGAGGATGGGAACTTTCAGCCTCACCCTCTCCAATCTCCAGGGAAGAGAGAAGGACTGGAGATTAAGTTATAAAAGCTGTGTGGTTTGGTGAGCTTCCAGGTTGCTGGGCACATTATGTGTTGTGAATGTGGTATGCCTGAAGAGGGCGTGGACCTTCCTCCCCCATGCCTTACCCTGTTTATCTCTTCCATCTTTCTGAGCTGCATCTTTTATAATAAATCTGTAGTAGTAAATAAGGTACTTTGCTGACTTCTGTGAGTCATCCTAGTGAATTATCAAACCTGATAGTTGGTCATTGGAACCTCCAAATTTGTTAAAAGCTAGATAAAAATATGCGTAACTGGGCACCCCATTTGAGACTGGTACCTGAAGTGGAGATAGTTTTGTCAGACTGAGTTCTTGTGGAATCTGACACTAACTGCAGGTAGATCTGGAACTCAATTGAATTGCCAAATACTCAGTTTACATCAGAGAATTGGTGTAGAAGAACCACACATGTGGTATCAGAAAATACCACACAAACTGGATAACTTCTATTGATCTATCTTCAAGTTCATTGTCTCTTTTCCTCTGTCACCTCAGTTCTGCTATTGATCCCATCTAGTGAATTTTTTCCTTTTCTTTTCTTTTCTTTCTTTTCTTTCTTTTCTTTTTCTTTTCTTTCTTTCTTTCTTTCTTTTCTTTCTTTCTTTCTTTCTTTCTTTCTTTCTTTCTTTCTTTCTTTCTGAGATTTTACTTATTTGACAGAGAGAGAGAGAGCACAAGCAAGGGGAGCAGCAGAGAGAGAGGGAGAAGCAGACTCCCTACTGAGCAAGGAGCCCAGCGCAGGGCTCAATCCCAGGACCCTGGGATCATGACCTGACCTAAATGCAGATGCTTAACTAACTGAGCCACTCCAGTGCCCCAGGGGGAATTTGTTTTCAACTGCATTTTTCAGTTGTAAAATTTCTATTTGGTTCCCTGTCATAGCTTCTTTTTCCCTGCTGAGACTCACTATTTTTCTCATTGGTTTCAAAGTGTTCGCCCTTACTTTGTACAGGATTGTTATAATGAATGATTTACAGTCTTTATTTGATTGTTTCAACAGCTGAGTCATTTTAGGGCAGGTGATACTGATTGTCTTTTTCCCTTGAGAATTCAAACTTTCCTCATTCTTTGTATGTTGAATAATTTTGGATTGTATTCTGGGCATTTTAAATATAAGATTTGTTTAGATGTATCGAGAAGGTTGGAGTGTTTTGTTCTGTTTTTAGCATGAAATTCACCAGATTAGGTTCAGGTCACAAGTTCTGCCTTCTGTAGATTGTGCTTTCAATGCTAGTTCAGTTTTCAAAACTTTTGCAATGCCATTTGGATCCATCCTACACCTGTGCCATCCAGGAACCACATCTGAGACCTGAGCAGTGATCTACCTTGCAGTTCAGTTCTAAAAGCCTTTGGTGTGCTGTTTAGGGTCAGATGCACATATGTATGTGCAGCTCAAGTGAACATGACTTCCACACACAATTTGATGGGATTCTTTCCTTGACCTCTCTCTTCTTACCCATGCTTGCCTCCAAAGGTACCTCCTGTCTGGTCTTCTGCTGGAAAGTTGAAACTTCATTCTCTCCGCTCTTCTGCATACTTCCTGTGACTGGGTCTGCCTCCATAGCCAACTGGGAGGAAGACAGAGAGAGGGCAAAAGTGACAGAGATTCCCTCCACACTCTGTATCACACAAGTCCTCCCTCAGAGTTTTAGATGCCTATCCAGCTGCCATTTCTGCTGCTGTCACTACCATATAGGGTTGCAGCTTCAGGAAGATGGTTTGCTGAGATGTATGGGTGAATACACTAGAATACTTGCTGTATTAAGCGAGTATTAAGCATCTGCATTTAGCTCAGGTCATGATCCCAGGGTCCTGGGACTGAGCTCTAAGCTGGGCTCCCTGCTCAGTAGGGAGTCTGCTTCTCCCTCTTCCTCTGCTGCTCCCCTTGCTTGTGCGCTCTCTTTCTCTCTCTCTGTCAAATAAGTAAAATCTTAGGGAAAAAAAGATAAGAAAAAAATTCACTAGATGGGATCAAGAGAATACACTCTTGCTGTCCCTTAAGACTTCTTACTTCTTAGATCACAAATAGAGGGCTTCTGTTAGATCTCTTTCTGTCTTCACCTGGTTCTCAGTTCTGGGATTCATGTTGCCTTTGAGCCAGGACATTCAAGAGGTAAAAATAAATCCAGGAAACTCATTGCCATATGGTTCTTATTTTGAGTTCTGGTTTCCTTTTCTTTTCCTTCTTTTTTTTTTTTAAATTTATTTATGATAGTCACAGAGAGAGAGAAAGAGAGAGAGAGAGAGAGAGAGAGAGGCAGAGAGGCAGAGACAGGCAGAGGGAGAAGCAGGCTCCATGCACCGGGAGCCTGATGTGGGACTCGATCCCGGGTCCCCAGGATCACGCCCTGGGCCAAAGGCAGGCGCTAAACTGCTGTGCCACCCAGGGATCCCCTGGTTTCCTTTTCTAAGTCACTTGCTATCATCTACTTTTCAGAGTCCTCAGATAGCCATCCCATGCATTATGTCCAGGACTTTTAGTTGCATTTAAAGGGAGTTGGGGTAGGATGTGCTTACTCTACCCTAACCAGAACTAAAATCCTGATAGAGTTCTTTTGGTTCTTTTTTCTTTTTTTACTCTATATTATTCTAATTTTTTTGGAAATTACATATTCTGTCTATATTCTTTATTGCAGATTTTTCTTTATTGCATTGAATTTTATTTTCTTTTTTAAAAATATTTTTATTTATTTATTCATGATAGACATAGAGAGAGAGAGAGGCAGAGACACAGGCAGAGGGAGAGAAGCAGGCTCCATGCAGGAAGCCCGATGCAGGCTCCTGGATCATGCCCTGGGCCAAAGGCAGGCACCAAACCGCTGAGCCACCCAGGGATCCCCTGCATTGAATTTTAAACAGGAACAATCCTCGTCCTCATCCCCAAGGAACATTTAGCAATGTCTAGAGACATTTTTGGCTATAAATGTCTCAGGGAGAGGTTGCCACTAACATCTAGTGGGTAGAGGTCAGGGATACTGCCAAATATCCTACAACACACAAGACATCCCCCACAGCAAAGAATCATCCAGCCAAAATGTCCACAGTATCAAGATTGTGAAACCTTGCTTTATTATATGCATTTGAATTTCTTTCATTCATATTTAATTTTATCTAAAGTTAATTAATAACTTAACCTACCTTTCCTGAACAAATCGAGAGCTTGGACTAATTTAACTCCAATCTCTTATCTCCATATTTAAATGCTATTTTTTCTAGTGTTTTTAGCTCTTATTTTAAAACCTTATGAATTACATATTATACTTATTATTGTAGATAATTTTTGTTTGGTCTTAAACTATCATGTTATTTGCTTACTTCTTGATGCTCAGACTATCTTTGTGTGATCATTTTTCCTGAAAAAAAATATTAGGTAGATAAATAGATATTGAGAGAGAAAGAATAAGAAAGAGAATCTTAGCAGTTCCTTTATCATGAGTGTCTTCCCTTAGTTTTTGTTTTTAAATATTTTATTTATTTATTTATTTATTTATTTATTTATTTATTTATTTATTTAAGAGAGAGAGAGAGAGAGAAGAGAGCACAGGCAGGGGGACTGGCAGAGGGAGAGGGAAAAGCAGGCTTCCTGCTGAGCAGGGAGCCCAAGCAGGGCTTAGTCCCTGGATCCTGGGTTCCTGACCTAAGCCAAAGGCAGATGCTTAACTAACTGAATCACCCAGGTGCCCCAAGTTTTTGTTTTTCTATGAATGTCTTTGTTTCACCTTTGTTCTTAAAGATAGTTTGTTGGGTACATAAGTCTACCTCAATGCTTTGATTTTATCATTCCATTGTCTTCTGCCTTCTGTTGTTACTGTTGAGAACTCTACAGTCATTCTCATTGTTATCCTTTTATAGATGATCTGTTGTTTCTCTTGGCCCATCTTTAAGGTAGTCTGTGTTAACCTTCTCCCACAGAAAAGCTATAATTTTGTGCAAGAACTGGATCTTTTATTCTCAGCACCGTTTCTGATTCTGCATAGTTTGTTTGTTTGTTTATTTTTAAGTAATTTCTACACCCAATGTGGGGCTTATTCACAACCCCGAGATCAAGAGTCACATGCTCTACTGACTAAGGCAGCTAGATGTACCTCTGCTTAGCATTTTTGAAGGCATCAAGCCTCTCTTTTCTTATTCTGTGGCTATAGTGTAACTTGTAGAGAATTCTATGCGTGGCATTGAGTTGGTGTTACACTTATTACTGCATGTCTTTTTTTTCTCACTAAACTGAGTTCCTTGAAGATAATCTACCTTCAGCACTGAGCATAGGCTTAACACATAGTAGACACTCAGTAGATGTTTGCTGGATGGGTAGAAGGGACAAATGTGTGGCTGGCTGCAGGTAAATGTATGAATTTACCTGAGCTTCTTCCTCTAGCATGATCTGAATACACCCAGCCATTTTCACATTAATAGGAAGCTGAGATCTACAGTACATGTTTCCTCATCACAGCTGACAAGCTGCAATGATCCTTTTTTTGTTAACGTTGCATTGCAGAGTATCACGGTCAGACTCTGGTGTTCAGGAAAGCTGCAAAACAAGTCAAGAGGATATCACAAGCAAGAGAATATGAGAATATGCTTCCCAAGCAGGTGAGCACATGATTGGAAATTTCATAGTAGAGATGATTTAAGAGGGGCTAGGAGATCTGGTAAGAAAAGCCAGCATGGTGAAGCTGTCAGGGTAGAAACTGGGGTATTTCTGATTACAGACTCGGCTGATACACTCAGGAAATTTCCTAAGGGTAATTCCCGACTACAGTAGGCACCAGTTGAGTGGGCATTTTATCTGGATTTCTCCAGGGCTTTAAGTTATCTGCTTGAAATTCAGGATCCTTGATGTAATGGAAAGAGAGCACTGAACCTCAGATTCCTACTCTAAAATAGGGATGATAATTCCTAGATCATGGTGTTCTTATGAGGTTTACCTGAGGTAGTGATGATAATTAACATGTAATGAACACTTACGATATGTCAGACATTAAACTAAACCTGTACCTGCAGTATATTTTATTTTACAGTCAAAGTCCTCAGAACTTGAAAGGCCCTGGATTGGTATGTGTTCTGTCCTCTTTTCCCCTCCCCTAACTCTTCCCCACAAACCTCTGAGGATGATAGTTTACATCAATGGCACCTTCAGAGTTCTTGAACCTTCTTCATTTCTCCATGTTTTACTGCTGCCTATTTCCCCTCATTATTTAGGAGTGAAATTTTGAGAAGTAACAGGACATGATGGAAAAGACAGACAAATCTCAGTCCTATATCTCATCAACTGTGTTACTTAAGCAGGTTGTTTAAAAAAATTTTTTTTTTCTTTTAAAGATTTTATTTATTTATTCATGAGAGACACAGGAGCGAGAGAGGCAGAGACACAGGTAGAGGGAGAAGCAGGCTCCATGCAGATAGCCTGACACGGGACTCGATCCTGTGACCCCCAAGATCACACCCTGAGTCAAAGGCAGATGCTCAACCGCTGAGCTCCCAGGCATCCCTGTTTAAAATTTTCTGATCTTATTCTATAAAATGGAATAAATAGGGACACCTGGATGGCTCAGCCGGTTAAGTGTCTGCCTTTGGCTCAGGTAATGATTTCAGGATCCTGGGATCGAGCCCTGAGTTGGGCTCCCTGCTCAGTAGTAGTTTGCTTCTCTCCCACCCCCAACTGATGCCCTCTCTTTCTCTTTCATAAATAAATAAATAAATAAATAAATAAATAAATGAATAAATGAATAAATAAATAAATAAATAAATAAATAAATAAATAAATAAATAAAATTTTATTTTAAAAGTATAAAATAAGGAAAATATAAAATCCAGTTGTGGTTATGGCCTTTCCTGCTGACAGGGCTAGTGATAGGTGATGAGCAGTTGTGTCCTACTCTTTGACCCATCTTGGTGAGGAGAAGAAGCTGAGCAGTTAGAGTGGATGGTGGCAGATTTTAATAGGAATGGAATGCAACTGAGAGCCAATGGCCTGGCAGAGACAAGCAGAAGGGAATTGCCAGAGGAAAGTTGGCTCAGCGAGCTATTTATGGGGGCCCACTGGCCACTCCTGACTGAGGAGCTAACGTGATTCCACCCCTTGAAGAGGTACAGCATTGATGTAATCAGTTGCCCATTCTATTTTTTTTAATACCATAGTTTTTATTGAAAAGATAATGTGTGCCCATGGTAAAATCAAACAATACTAAAGGATATGTAATAAAAAGTAAATTTCTCTTCCATGCCAGGCCCTATGCCCTGTACCAACAGGCCAACACTGTTTTCCCATACATCCTTCTAGAAATGTCTGATGGACATCAAGGAATATAAACCTTTTAAATGTTAATGTATAAATACACAAACTGCAATAGAATATACACTAATTTGCACTTTGTTTTTTCAACTAACACATAATAGCTAATGTTTATTGAGTGTTTACTGTATACCAAACATCCTTCTAAACACATTATATACATTGAGTCATTTATTTATTATTATTTTTTAAAACATTTTATTTATTTATTCACAAGAGATGCAGAGAGAGAGGCAGAGACACAGGAAGAGGGAGAAGCAGGCTCCCTGTGGGGAACCTGATGTGGGACTCTATCCTAGGACCCCGGGATCATGACCTGAGCCAAAGGCAAACGCTCAACCACTGAGCCACCCAGGTGCCCCTACATTGACTCATTCAATCTTCTTTTATTATCCTCATTTTATAGATAAGGAAACTAAGGCTCAGGAATATTATCTTGCTTAAAGCCAAATAACTAGTAGGTGGCAGAGCCAAGATTTTTAAAAGACACAATTTGCATACCATAAAATTCTTCATTTTAATGTACAATTTAGTCATTTTTCATTTTTTCACAAGGCTTTGCAATCATCACCACTATGTAATTCCAGAACATTTGTATTGCCCCCAAAAAGAAACTGCATACTCATAAGCAGTCACTCCACGGTCCCCTCTCCCCAAGCCTCTGCAAGCCACCAATCTACTTCTCTGTCTGTATGGATTTGCCTATTCTGGACATTTCATATAAATAGAATCATACAATATGTGGCCTTCTATAACTGATTTCTTTCACTTAGCATAATGTTTTCAAGGTTTATCCATGTAGTGGCATCTGTTGGTATTTCATTTCTTTTTATGGCTGAATAACATTCCATATATGAATAGATCACATTTTGTTTATCCATTCACCAGTTGATGGACATTTGGGTTGTTTCCATCTTTTGGCTATTATGAATAATGCTGTTTCCATGAGCATTCATGTACAAGTTTGTGTGGGCACATATGTTTTCTGTCCTCTTAGATATATAGCCAGGAGTGGCATTATTGGGTCCTATGGTAACTCTGTGTCACACTTTTTGAGGAAATGCCAAATTTTCCCATAGCAACTGCACCATTTTACATTCTCACCAACATGTGAGGGTTTCAATTTCTCCATACCCTTGCCAATACTTCTTTTCTTTTCCATTCTCTCATGATACTTATCCTCATTGGCGTCCAGAAGTACTTCATTGTGATTTTGACTTCTATTTCTCTAATGACTAGTGATATTGAGTTTCTTTTCATGTGTTCATTGGCCATTGTGTACTTCTTTGGAGAAATGTTTATTCAAATATGTTGCCCATTTTTAGACTGAGTTGTTTTTATTTTTGTTGTTGAGTTGTTATCATAGAGCCAGGATTTTTGACTTGAGCAGTTTGAGTCCAGGTCCTATGCTCTAAATTAGACTCTATACTGACATCAGTATATCTTATGTAATGTTCCGTATGAGAGCACCTGGAGAGCCATCACACTCTGTTCTCATGTTTACTTACGCCTGTGTTTCATAGTTCGTTAACCATTTTCCCGTCAGTAGGCGTGTAAGTGCTTCCAGTCTTTGCTATTACAAATACTGCTGCGTTGGGCAGCCCGGGTGCTCAGCAGTTAGCGCCGCCTTTGGCCCAGGGTGTGATCCTGGAGACCCGTGATCGAATCCCGTGTTGGGCTCCCTGTATGGAGCCTGCTTCTCCCTTTGCCTGTATCTCTGCCTCCCCCTCTCTCTGTGTGTGTCTCTCGTGAATGAATGAATAAATAAATAAATAAATAAATAAATAAATAAATAAATAATAAATAAAATCTTTAAAAAAACAAATACTTCTGCCTTGAACATCTTAGTGTTTATGTGTTTCTGGGCTCAAGTGCACCTGTAGAAACACTCCTGGAAGTGGAATTACTAAATCATAGTACATCTTAAATTGCTCTCCAATGAAGTTGTGCCAATTTATATTCCCACCAGCAACCTACGAGAGACCTTCCAGGTACCTTTGCCAATGTCGTGCATCATCAAATTGTTTGTTGCTGTTCTCATGAAGGGGAAATGGTACTTTTTAATTGTTTCGGTATTAATGCTTTAATTATGAGTGAAGTCGCCTAATTTTGTTTATTTTTTTATTTTTATTTTTAAGATTTTATTTCTTTATTTATGAGAGACAGAGAGAGAGAGAGAGAGAGAGGCACAGACACAGGCAGAGGGAGAAGCAGGCTCTATGCAGGGAGCCTGACGTGGGACTCGATCCTGGGTCTCCAGGATCAGGCCCTGGGCTGAAGTTGGCGCTAAACCGCTGAGCCACCCGGGCTGCCCCCTAATTTTGTTTAAAGATTTTATTTATTTAAGGGAGAGAGAGAGAGCACAAGTAGAGAGGAAGGGCAGAGGGAGAAGGAAAACTGAGCAGGGACCCCACTGAGGCTTGGGGCTAGATCCCAGAACCCTGATATCACAACCAGAGCCAAAGGCAGGCAGAGGTTTAACTGACTGAGCTATCCAAGCACCCCTATTTTTCTATATTTATAATCCTTTGGAAGTTCTATTTCTGTGAAATGCCTGAGTCTTTTGGGGTTTTTTTCTAAGTAGAAATATTTCTACTTCTGAGATTGAGGTTCTCAATCTTTGGCTTATTATTCATTTGTAGATGCTCAATTCTTCGTCATATGTTTGGCAAAAGCATTTACTATTTTTTTAAAGATTTTATTTATTTATTCACGAGAGACACACAGAGAGAGAGAGGCAGAGACATAGGCAGAGGGAGAAGCAGGCTCTATGCAGGGAGCCCGATGCGGGACTTGATCCCAGGATCACACTCTGAGCCAAAGGCTCAAACACTGAGCCCCCAGGCATCGCCAAAAACATTTACTATTTAATCTTTTTACTTTAATTATGGTGTTTTATGTGAGAAAATTGTAATCTTCTATAGCTTTTCTTATTGGTCTTCTCTTTTACAGCTTCTCGATTTCATTTCTTACTATGAAAGATCTTTACCACTCTAAGATGTATGAAATATTCTCCCAATTTTTTTTAAAAGATTTTATTTATTTATTCATGAAAGACACAGAGAGGCAGAAAGACAAACAGGCTCCTCCCCATCAGGGAGCCTGATGTGGGACTCTATCCCTGAACTGGGATCACACCCTGAACCAAAGGCATACACTCAACCGCTGAGCTACCCAGGCGTCCCTATTCTCCCAATTTTTTCCATAATATTTTTATATCATCACCTATTCACAATGCAAAAACTTTACTCAATCAGATATCACCAGGAGTCACTCTGCTCCTTTGAATTTATTTTTT